GCATGTGATGTCAAAAGCTGTGAAGAAAAAGAAAGGCCGCCGGACCGAGGTGTGTTCTTGTTTAGAATCAGTTGCTTGCTCGCTTGGTTCAGAGTCCAATGACGAACTCCGAAACAAAACGGCTAATGTGGCTCTCTGAAAGGCGCATCCATGCGAATCTTGATACATCTTGCAAGCACCCGAGCGACGTTTTGGCAATGAGCAATGCATCGAGAAACACACGCTGCCGTGGGGGATTTGCGCAATAGAAGCGGACTGCAATGACTTCAGCATGAACATCGGAACTGAGTCTCGGTCATTCCCCCAGCGAAATGCCAAATCATTTGCAGATTCAATGGAACATCCATAAGATTTAGACGGGCTATGGGCAATCAGGGTTCTACAACAAAAACCAACGTGACAAAGCTCTGTCTGCCAAGCATTGCCGTTTTGTTGCCTTGCGGCCTCCCACAAAGAAGAACACAAATGAGAGATGTTCCCTCTTCAACTAACGGCCGGAAGAGGATGAAGCGCACAGCCCACGTCTGGTAACACGGCAGAACATCCAACTGTCCAAAGTCATGCTGCGCTTGGGTGCCCAACATGAGCATGGCAAACATACAGCAAGCCTGCAAGGCCAATTTGTTTGTGCGTGAAGCTATGTTGACAGTGGGCGCGCAGCTGTTTATACCTGCAGTCATCCTCGCTTTCCAAACACATGTTTGCATTGGCTCAAATCCATCAAGCAGGAATGCTCCTAATCTGAGAAACCCATTTGCTGCTTCCAAGCACACGTCTCAAATGACGGAAGCAATAAAACCAATTCAAGGCAGAATCAAACTCGCTTGCCGAACAAGATACTTCACACTCTGACTCTGCCCGCTTCTTAAAGTGCTCGGGGACTGCTTCTTCTATCTCAAAGTCCTTGTGGGGGGCTGAAGCAATCTGGCGCGAACCACCGGCTATCTCAGAAAAACGGAACTTGCTTATCCGACCGGATTTCGATATCCAGAAACCGGTCCCGAAATCGAATTCACACCCCACATTCAGACTCCTGCCCCTGCTGCTTTGCCGAGCATCGGAAGTGTTTTGACGCCGATACTCGTGTCAGAAGCGATGAAGGGAGCCAATCAGCTGCAAGTCAGCGAAGTAACTGAAAACCGGCCACTTCCATTTGCTTCTTCGCCCCCTGGACAAACATGAGCAAACATGTCCAGTAGTGATATCGATTCCCTTCAAAAAGGGACAATAAACAAACAAACAAACAAACAAGCAAACAAACAAGCAAACAAACAAACTAACAAACCATTTCATAAAATGGAAGTCCACAAAAAACCCATGGCAGTTTGGCCCCGGCTCGTCTTAAGAAACCCAGCAAACCATACAAAGATCATCTCAGTCTGGCCACGGATCTCGGTGTGTCTCGGGGCTATGAGGTCGACCCCCTCGATTTTTGTTCCACCAGGAAACGGAGATCGCCGGTGATGTTTGAACATGCTTGGACACTCCACTATCTGGGTGAATTACAATATTTCACCAGCCTGAAATAAGGTGGTTGGGGGGCTATTGCCCCCATAATTAAGCCACCATTTGGGGTGAGGTCGTGTGAGGTCGTTATAATTTACCAAGCACTATACAGGGAAATGGAATCACTGGGAGAGGCCATGAAAACCGCCAGGCCATCTTCATTTGTATTTTGTTGTCGCCAGAAGCATCCATCGGGTTGCCATGCATCAAGCGACTTATTTTTTCTGCACTGGGAACCGACTTGCAGTCATTGGGTTGCGGTTTCTGCAGGGCCAACTTATTTGTTTGCATCCATTGGGTTGCCAACTCGGAACGCTGCGCCAACTTGATGGATCACTAGCACTGGTGAGTCTGACGAACCGTCGTGAACTTGCGCTAAGCATAGCCTCGCGTTGCACTGCTTTTAACCGGCCATGTCTCTGCGTTCCCAAGATAAGCCTCAAACAAGGCCTTGGGAGGGTCTTAAATTCTTAAAGTTTCATTTGGTTAAGCCCCTTGGAAAAAGACTATTTCCGGTGGTGAAATCGATTCCCTTTAAAACCAAAAAAGGGAAAACACAACTTACGTTTAAGCAAATGGAAGTCAAGCGAGAACAAGGCCGAAGCGCATGTCTTTGCCCGGCCCATAGGCCGGCCGACTGCTGACTGACTGAAAAAGGACATCATCGAAATACCTGACTGAAAACCACGAGCGATTCTTGGCGGTGGCGCTTGTGGCGAACATTTGGGTGTTACTCTTTTTGTTGGAGTTGGTACACCATTGTTTTTATCTTCAAGCAAAACCAAGGTGGAAGACCCACCGTTCGGGGGGTCCAAACTTAAAATAGACACCCGCACGTTTCCGACAAAAACCGAAACAACACAAAAGAGGGAAAAGTGTGCTGAGCCGACTCCCCCGTTCAGACGTTTTCGGTGCGCCTTTGATGAAAGAGCCGCAACTCCTGACAGCTCCAAAGGCATAAAAGACAAGAAAGGCCGAAAGGCAGGGCAGCTTGAAATCATAAGAATACCCAACCAGCTTTCTTTAAAACTGCCGATGGCTTCATTCATCTTTCGAAGCAAGTCCTATCCTTTTGCAGGCCTTTGGACATGGACATGTCTACCATCTGCAGGCGTTTGATTTTTATACCCTCAGCATTCCCTCTGCTTTCCCGTGGCAACCCCCCGCCCCCCAACCTCCCCCCCCCCCCACAAAAAATAAATAAGACTTGGCCCACATCCGGGGTCAGAAATTTGAGCCGACCCTAAAAAATAAAGTTGGTTGGGAGACCCCACTTCGCTGTTCGTTGCCAAGTGAGTAAGTGGTTAGGTGGTTGGCCTGGAACAAACCCCATGCCAACAACTTACTAAGCAAGGAACACCCAAGCAGAGGTCGGGACCCTCCCCGCCCCAAGCTGCAAGGAATCCATCGATCTCTCCTCTGGGCTGTCCTCAGATCCCTGGTTAAAAGTGACTAACTTTCAGTGGGTGAAATTCGGAAATCCCGTACTAAACACTAAAAGGCGACAGGGCTAAGGAACCGGATGGCTTCTTCCGCCAAGTGTCCTCCTCCGCTTCGGCAGGGGCTTTTTCCACCCGCAAGTCCTGGGCCTTCCGGTGAGAAAAAATCGAAATCACTCGAGCCGAGCCCCCGGAAATCGAGCGAGGGCGGGAAACCGACGGCGCCAATCAGCAGCTTCTCTCAACTTGGGTGTGGCAAGTAAACATTAAACGATCGCAGAGGGGGGGGGCAAACCGCAGGTTTCGGCCACCAGGTTTCCACTTCCCGATCGGGCGACCCAGTTTGGAACTCCGGTTTTTTTGAGCCACGGCCACTTGGAGTCCAACTCTTGTTTGGATGCTGCGAGGAGGTGTTGGAAAAAAAGTTCCACTGGGGCTACTAGTGCTGCTAGTTTCTCCTTCCAACAACTTCTGTTCGGATGCTGTAATATGGGTGTGGCTCAAATAAGTGGACACCCATTTTTGGGCCTCTTGGATGGAAACAAAGACCAACACCTGCGTAACCCCAGTCCTTAAATTTCCAACCACACCCATGTGTCGTTGGCAAGAATAACACAGAGGAAACCAAGAGCCCAGGTTGGCTGTCCATTTTCTGACCCCCTGCTACAAGAATTTAAAACCAAGATAAGCCAGCCCCTATGTTGTTTGGGGTTGTCAAGGGACTTTTGAGACACCAAGAAAACCAAGGCACCGATGGAAAATCGCCTTAGGAGACCTTCAAATCGGGGCCGTTTGGACTTGTTTTGGGCATCCTGAAGATGCAAAAGGGGTTCAACCATGATTGTTTGCCCAGCTTTTTCAGGAGCAGGGGTTGCAAAACAGGGCATGGCGCCCTGACAGAAAGGAGCTGACGCACTCGATGACACGGAGCAAACAAGTGTACATATATCTCCCTGGCAAAGAAGCGAACATCTTGAGAGCGACTGGAAGCAAAGCTCGTGACTTTCGAAAGTTTTCTTGGAAGACGATTCTTTCGGAGAAATCACGTATGGGGTGCCCCAGTCATCAAGGAATCGATATGCAAATAGAACCACAAAGTTGGTCCAGATCAACGCAAACGCAAACAAAAACGCAGATCTGGCCAAAACAGCATAAATTGTGTATAGCTTGATCAATATTTCGTTCGGCCCATGCCCATCGCTACCTTTCCCACGTCGGAAACATTATCTGTTTTGTGGCTTTCAATCCAATCGTCATCCCATGTAAAGGACCTTTTGATCAACCCCCCCATTCCCCTTGGGACCTGCCCGTGACTTCCAAAAGGCGTCACGGAGAATGGCGTCTCCGTCGTGGCGAAGCCCAATTAACTCTCCAAAAGTGAAGGTTGGAAAATGAAATGTGACAACCCCATGTGAATCAACCCGGGATTCACCGTTTTTTCCCACGGTCGAACCTATCTGTTGATCTGCATCTTCCTTCTGATATTGGCCAAAAACAGATTCCCTTTTAGGAACCCTGGGTCAAAACTACATTCGTCTGGGCCGCCCTGCCCAGTTTGACACGCTGCCGAAGAGCGTCGGAATGCCGAGGACTGTCTCATCGCCTGCGAGGATCTGATGCCCCCGGAGTCCAATGGTGCATCCCCAGCCTAACAAAAACCGCTGTTTCCGTCGCAACCTCATGAGAGTCAACATTTTCCTACTCACTCAGTCTCCTGCCGGGGATGGGTTGGGGCTGCTGCAACTTGCGTTCAGTCAACCTGAGTGCCTAGAAAGACCATCTGGCTTTGTGAATGCTGTGCATTGTGCCTGCATGCCTTTTCGCAAAGCTTCCTTCGCCTTCCCCTTATTTCGACCCAAAGTCTTCGAGAGGCGCCTCCCTTTCGGGATGTAATGTCCATCATCCTCAGCACCTCTAGGCCCTGGAAGTGCCCAACGGGTTGACACCAAGTGGACAATCTGAAACCAAGAGCCTTGGGAAAATACCTATATACATATATATATATATATGCTATCCCCCCAAAAACGCAGGTTTCATCACTCCCTAGGCTTTTTTTTTGGGGGGGGGGGGGGTACCATATGTATATATATATATATATATATATTTGATATGGATGAACAAATTGGACAAACCCGTGGTCAAAGGATCAGCCCTTTGAACAAACACGAAGCCAAAATAATGTCCAGTGACTTGAAAACACCCCCAATGAGAAAAACAAAAACCGAGCCCCCGGGGCAATTCCTCACGATCTCGCGCCTCGCTCCTTTGAGCCCTTCACCTTTGGAAGCGGCTTGCATATCTTGCCTTGGCCGTACGGCAAAACATGAACAAGGCAACGGACAAAACTTCGGAAGGGATGAATCATTCCAAAGTCTTGGTTGACGTTGGAAGGGGAGCAAAAGAAAAAAAAAGCAGTTAAGTGGGGATTTCAACCACTAAACCACAATAAGCAAAAATGTAAAATGTTTCCCAACAACAACCATCAAGTGCCCCTAAAATTGTCTCCAGAAGAACTTAAACAGGGAAATTTACATGAAAAACACCTGAACATTGCAGCTTGTAAATGGCGGAAACAAAAAAAACTTTATTTTGGTGTTGAAAAAGAACATTGCCTTGTTAATGGTGGCTTTTCCAATTTTATTTTGGTGGAACAAACAACATGTTTAACCCAGAGGAAGCCAAGAGCCCATGTTTCAAGCCCAGGAACTCAGAAGAGAGTCGATGACTTTAGATCCTTGTACTGGTGTTTTTGGTGTTCTTTCTTTTTCTGGGGCGTGAAGACGGCGAAGAAAACTCGTTAAATTTCAAGGGCTCTTTATTCCATAAGGGAACCAAAAGGAAGGTCTGCGTTTTTTGGGGTACACTTGGGTGACCCTAGATGACACAATCCCTCATTTTGGGCTAGTCACCCCATTTCGTTGCGTAAAGGACACTGCTCACCCCCGGACGATTTTCAGCACCCAAGGATCAATCCGAGGGGCAGTGATGCTGCAGCCATGCCCTCTGCTGCGTGCGGACCTGTCTCGAATGGGATGGGATGCTTCTTGGGGTAGGTACACTTATCCCCCACGGGGAGGGGTGTGGGGTCCCTGAATTCCATTTATCTAGTCTTCCCCACAAAGAAGAAAATGGAACCACAAATGGAGATCTCCACCTATCACCTCCCTCCCCCAATTTCATTTACAAGTGGGCGGGGATGTACACTTGCCCAAAGGACTGGACATCAAAGGAAGCCCTTGGGAGGTCGGCTTTGAACTGGGTAAAGGGAAGCCAACCGGGGAAAGCCGAAGTCATTTTCGGGCGACCCTCTTTTGACGCAAGAGGGCCCGGACATGGAAGCGACCTTGGCCAACCGAGGGAACCGACACAATGGTAGAAACAAAGCACAGGCACAATGGCAAACACCCAACAATCATTTACTATGTAGACAAAGGATAGAAACCAAACTTTAACTCAACACCAAATAGCGAAAGCCGTTCAACTAGAATAGCATGAGCACAAAGAAACCTAGCGCAATGGTAGGTGGACAACAGTTGCAAGACTTAGGCATTCAAGCGCTCGGCTGCGCCCTTAACCAGCCCAACCTGAGGCCGACCCCAAGCCGACTCAAGCCGCGACACAGGGTGGATGGGTCGGATGGCACGTAAAACCTATCCCAAACATGTCGATGTCGGGCGAGAAAAAAACAACACAAAAAACGGAAAATGGAAGGTCGCTCCTAGACAAACTATTCAGCCGCATGTGAGCAGAGGCAAAAATGAACTATCGGCATTTAGTCCTAAACTTGTTAACTGGCCGTTTATGTCGACGGAGCAATCGGATGAATAGGGAGAAAACATGAATGCCCAAAGGGACCTGCGTCATGGTTGAGACCGTCTTATTTTCCCCAGGCACTATTTTTCCCAGCGGCTGATGAATCCGGGCTTCCCACCAGTCCCAAAAATAATGGTGTTGGCGCTCATGTGTGGGGCTGTGTCAAAATACTCCGAAATTGGGTGTTCTTTTCGATTTCCCTTGAGCCAACCTTGAAAAGGGAACCGACTGAACACACCCACACACACACACACACGAACACACCCACACACACACAAACACACACACACACACACACACACAAACACAACTGTTTCAAAATTATGCTGAGCTTTTCCAGGTGTAGTGCTTTTGGGGTTGCCAACCCCAACCCCCCCCTCTTTGTTGAACAGTAGGCCTAGGGAAAGGCCGTTTTCAAACCCTTCCGATCCGCTTTCCGCTTTCTCTTTTTCGGCCTGCTTGGCCCACTCCAGGTGCGGCGACGCACGGGGCTTGGGCAGCTCCGGAATGCTCCTCGTCGCGTGGCCAGCAGGCGCCCCACCCTTTTTCGCATGGCTGTAGGTCAAACCAATGGGATCCCATTTTGGGGTAGGTGCACTACCCATTTTAGGCTTTATTTTAGTGGGAATTGGGATGTTCACTGGGGGTACGGGATTTTGACCCATGGCCACATGGAACCTAAGTCCCCATCGCGGAAACAAAAAGATTATCACCTTTTGGGACCTTTACTAAAACTGCACTGAGACGGGGAACACCAAAAAAAACAAAAGGCAAAAGGGGCGGCTTTGGACAACGGAGTGACACGGGGTTTCTTTAAAAGGAACATGGTCCAAGCCAGCACCCCCCCCCCAACAAACCCTTGCCCCTGAAACTGGTGGAAATGCGGCTGTGTGTTGCCCTGGACCGAGCAAACCACAATCAGTGCACACGTGCTGACTTGCGCGCAGACTTGCGCGGTACGTCTGACAAGGTAGCGTGCTCATAGTCAACACTGTGCGAGAGACGCATGGCTTTCCCAACTACAAGCACACCACGGGAGCTGGCAAAGCTGCGCTGTTCCTATTCGATCCCCTGCCAAAAGTCAAACTTGTCGCGGTTTAGTGATAATGGAAACTACCACTAAGCCAACTAAAAATCTAAAACCTAAGAACCTAAGGAACCGGATGGCTGGGAACCTCCAAGACTTCTCTGCGGGGTTCCCTGCGTGACTCTTGTTTCAACCGAGGGGCCCGAGGGGTCCCCGAAAAGCCCGAGACCCGCCTGGCAGTCTCCCAGGGCACCTAAGGCTGGTATCAAACGGATGGGAAGACATGTCAAACATCAGCTCCAGGCTGGCTGGTTTGTGGCCGAATCGGCGGTTTGGAGCTGTGAAAGGTGTGGTTCTTCCATCCACAAATCCAAACCAAAGGGGTTACCAGAAACAAATCCAAACCAAAGGGGTTAAATCAATCGGGTGCTGTTTCTGGCGACTGCCCCAGAGCCCCAACTACGTACCCGTGTTCTGATTGTTCCTCAGCACTCGACTTCCCGCACGGGCAAACAGCCGCAAAAACAAACACATAAACAAACAAACAAAGAAACAAACAAACAAACAGGCAAGCAATCAGACACCGCGCGAACGCAAACACGAAAACACACCAGCAAGCAAGCAAGCAAGAGAGCAAGCGAGCAAGCGAGCAAGCAGGCAACCAGCAAGCAGGCAAGGAGGCAGGCAGGCCTGCTAAGGCAAGCAAGGAAAGCAGGCAAGAAGGCAAGCAAGCAGGCAAACAGGCAGCAAGCAGGCAAGCAAGCAGGCAAACAGGAAGCAAGCAGGCAAGCAAGCAGGCAAACAGGCAGGCAAACAGGCAGCAAGCAAGCAAGCAAGCAACCGGCAGGCAAGCAGGCAAGCAAGCAGGCAAACAGGCAGCAAGTAGGCAAGCAAGCAGGCAAACAGGCAGGCAAGCAAGCAGCAAGCAAGCAAGCAGGCAAGCAAGCAGTTAAACAGGCAGGCAAACAGGCAGCAAGCAGGCAAGCAAGCAAACGGCAGGCAAGCAGGCAGGCAAGCAGGCAAGCAAGCAGGCAAGCAAGCAGGCAAACAGCCAGGCAAGCAAGCAGCAAGCAAGCAAGCAGGCAAGCAAGCAGGCAAACAGGCAGGCAAGCAAGCAGGCAAACAGCCAGGCAAACAGGCAAGCAAGCAGGCAAGCAAGCAGGCAAACAGGCAGCAAGCAGGCAAGCAAGCAGGCAAACAGCCAGGCAAACAGGCAAGCAAGCAGGCAAGGCAGCAAGTCCACTAACTTGGGCTGCTGCAGCCTGAGAGGGCCGCAGGCGGCGCCACCTCACCAAGAGCGAGGTAGGGGCTTCCACCTGCCCCTGGATTTTCCATGTACATGGCATGGCGATTCCGGTTCTAAGCATCGCTATGGTCGGTTCAAACAAGCAGGTGGCATAACAGCGATATACATTTGGTATCTGAGCACATGTATACGGCAAATTTGATATACACATGTGTGAAAACGACGAGTTCAACGTTTGGAAGCATTTGTTTTCTGCAAGAAAAGCGAAAAGCGACATGCAATGCTATTGGGGTCCAAATGTCATGTCAGCCGACCTTTCCATCTACCGGCTGTCTCAGCGCCTTTTGTAAGCCTGTCCAAAGCGAGGCTCGCTCAGACTAACCATTACTTGCACAGTTCAAGCACAATCGCCCTGCTCCGCGAAGCGATACAAAGAGCGAAACCGCCCTCTTGACCTTTGGCGCTTGAGGCTGCGGGGATTCGCTGGCAGTATCATAGCCCCGATACTTGCTGCTTCCTTCAGGGGTCCCAAGACTTCCCATTGAAACTGCCCACTTTTGGAGGTTTCCTACGACTGATTTCCCCCAATTCAATTGCTTGTTTCCATTGAAACTGCCCCTTTAGGTTCCGATTAGGGAATTGGAGGAACCGGTTCCTCTGAGACTTGCAATTCTTCCGAAAAGGGAATTGGGGAACCCCCAAGACTCGCGCTTCTTCCTTGGGCCGGCGGTGAAAAGCAGAACGGCCCATCCCAGTTGCCCACGGATCCATCTCCGAGCGATGAGCCAGGCATAGCGCGGCCGCCCCTCCGGCCTCCGAATGGAAAACATCAATTTGCCGACCCTTTGGCCAACAAAGACCTAGGTCCTCCAGTCGAGAGGTTGGAATAAGGCTACCAACTTTTTTCTGTAGTCTATTTTAGTAGGGGAACCCTCCCCCAAAAAAGGGCAAAAGGGCACTACTGGGGGACCTAGAAGACAGAAGGGCTTGGAAGACGTCCTCTTGAAACGCCCGCCTGTCCATTTCCACTATTGGAAAAAGCACCACAGCCCCCTGTCATAGCATTGTGAGCCCGACCAGAACTGGTTAAATACAGAAACCAGAAATCAAATCTAAGGGGTCTCGTGTCTTCCAATGACAAAGTCAAATCTAAAGGATCATACTCCGCCGGACTGAGCAACTTGCATCACTTTCGCAGCTGGAACATCGGCAACGCGCGCGCAAATGTTACAAGACCATGAAGCTCGCAGGCTTCTGTTGAAAAAAGCGGATGCCAATCTGGATGCCAAGTTGATTGCTTGGATTGCCGGCTTCGTCGCTGGATGCTCTGTAATCCCATTTGTCGCGGGAAGGTGGCCACATCCAGGCCTCAAGCTCTTGATCCGTGGAAGATCTCTCAGGGTGGCAGGCAATGTTTAGACTTCCCCCCTTTGGGCTCTTTGATGTTTTTGTCAGATGGCCTCCACCAAATTGCCTCTCAAGCAACCAAGGCGCATCAAAAAAACATTGATAGGGCAGCGATGCACTGCTGCTAGACACCTACCACTTGCAAGCAACTTAGACACCAACCAACCAACCAAACAAGCAACCAACCAAACCAAACCAAACCAAACCAAACCAAACCAAAGCTACCAACCAACCATCCATCCATCCATCTATCCATCCATCCCACCCACCCACCCACCCACCCACCCACCCAACCAACCAACCAACCGACCGACCGACCGACCGAACCAAACCAAACCAAACCCAACCCAACCCAACCAACCAACCAACCAATCGCACCAACCAACTAAGTAAACCAAAAACCAAGCCCGTCCAACGAACCAATCGAACAAACAAACGCACAAACATAACAAACAACACAGACCAACAAACACAAAACAAAACCAACGCGAGGCAATACACAGCAAAACATAACAACACAAAGACAACACAAAAACAAAACCAAAAAAGAAAAACATAAACAAGCAACACCTTGCAGAACGCCAGTACTGCAGGAAGAACATGATCAGCTGCTCTTGCATCTCCAGACATTTATGCAATGTCGTTTGAACCGCCCGTGCATCAGCTAAAAACACTTGACAACATAGCAACCGCCGTGAAGTGATGCAGCGAGGGAAACTCTTCGAACTCAGTTGCCCAAAGGACCTGGAAACATAAGGTTCACCTTTTGGGGTCATGACAAAAACAACAACACCAAAACTGAAAAACCCAAAAGGTCAATCTGGTCGATTCGCTTTGGACAACTGAGTGAATCAGCATTACAGGAACATCTACAGGACAATCTACCCCCCAAAACACCCTACATCGGTTGTTTTCCTGTAGAATTGCCCGCAACCCAACCCCTTTGAAAAATATTGGCTAGGGAAATGTGCAACTGCTCATTAGCTTCCAACCACCAAATGGGCACCAACAAAAGCCATCAATTCTCACGCCGCCCTTTTTCTAGGGGTACCTTCCAACCATTCTTTCCAGGGATCCTTCTTTCAAAAAAAAACTCCAAAAACCCTGGTGAAACAGCTGGTTTTTGAGAAGAGCGATGGTTGAAAAGAATGGACAAGGAATCAACCCCTAGAACAATGGGACGCTACACCAATGACATAGTTTTGCGGTTTTTCAGCAGGAATGCGGGGATTATAGCCTCACCCCTAGAACGATGGACAAGGAATCAACCCTCGGCAAAAGTCTTTCCCCGTTTCCCCCAACGACATCTCTCACCTGGCCAGCGACATCTCAGCCCTGGCAGCACGAAGAATGCGAGGTTCATGTCGTCTTCGTTTGAGTTGCTGCGGTACCCGTTTTGGGCTTGGTTTGACTGGGCTGCCCTCAGATCCCCCGCTAAAAGTTAAACTAAATGGAAACTACCACTAAACACTAAAAGACTAAAAGGCTAAGGGGATGGCTGGGAGCCACCAAGTTAAATGGACGCCACAAGGAAAAACGCAACTTTTGGGGGGTCACCCAACAATCCCGGAAGGGAACAAAGGGGTTTTTCAACAGGAGAATTGTCTTCCAAAGCCTTCTGGCAGCTTCCATGATTGTCGGAGGGTACACCCCAAAGAGACCGCACGCGAAACTGGGTCAGGTACTTGTTGAACCCCAAAATCATGGGAGGGGGGGGGGAGGTCCCAATAAGCCCCAAATAAGGCCTTACTAGGGGCTTAATCCCCATGACAAAAGGGAAATCAGCACCGAATCTTTGGCGAGTATTTTGCTTCCCACCCACCAAACCGCTCCAGGACTACCACATTACACATGCGACTTGCGACATCTTCCCGAAGAAATGCCCTCGATTTCAATGGGTGTACACCCTACCTTGCTGTCAAGTGGCCATGGGTACCTTTGCCCAGTTCGTGGTTGACATATCGAATCTGTTTACCCCATGTAACCACTAAACGGGGCACACCCCCTGTTGTCATAAACCAGGTCCTGGTTTTTACGAACTTGTCTTGACGCGCCATGTTGGCCATGCCCTAAGTTCGCGCCCTCACCTCTCACCTGCGCCCGACATCGATCTTGAAAAGCTTACGCCAAGGCAGGACACCCGTGTTTACAAGAAAACCAACCTAGCACGAGCCTTCTTATCTTGCTGGTGCTCAGGGAATGACCTTCAGGGTGTTGGGAATGAACAAGTCCGGATTCCCTCAAAGGAAACCAACTCGGGGATGACTTCTCTCGGGGTCATTCCATTTCTCCTTCCCTGCCGATCGAACCAGGAACCAGCAAGTAAGATGATCCTCCAAGCAGGTTCCATCCAACAAACCACCCCCATCCCCCCAAAAAAGAAACAACAACGAAAGAAAACAGGGACCACCCCCCTGCACATGTTGACAGGGACTTGCAAGTCACAACAAGGCACCGCCCAAATGTCCACGCCTGCATGGCGCTAGTCGCACCGCGGCGCTCCGATCGAGAACGTCGAGTTCTCCGAGTTACGGGCGGCTCGTTCGGCTCCCGACTTTCCCAAGAAAAGCAGGTGGAACCCAAGCGTTTCGCCACTATAGGTGACCCTTCCCCAATTGTGCTGTTTGTGAAGGGTGGCAAGCCCTTACTTACCTCCAAAAGGTAGGAATGACTGGGGTAGGTTGGCTCCCACCTTCCTTTTGCTGATACATGTTGGGCTGGCAGCTTGGAGTAAATGTTGCGGATCTCCGTTGCCGTTGCGGGCGCAACGGCATATCCTAGCCGTCGCCTGGCCTGACATTCCAGAAAACGTGACAAGTGGGGTGTGTCATTGCAACTGGGGTGGTTTTAAGGAACCAAATGACACTTTGGGTGACTCACGCAGTTTAAGAGAATCCAAGTGGTTGCGTGACTCATTTGTTTGAGTAGGTACTTTTTGGGTGGTTGTCAGGAAACCAGAAGGACTCCCCGCCATTTCGGGGGGGTCCTCCAATAAGGCACAAGTCTCTTCCATGCATCTTCGTGATATCGGATGTGATGATAAGCATGTGTCGAGTTGCTACGCCGATTCACCTTGACAGAGAAAAAGTCGTAAACCCGTGTTTTGCTCCAATGGCTTGGATTGGTGGTTTGGTGGTGAATTGGAGGGGGTCCCGTTTACCCCGTACAAGAACCAGGGATTCAAATCCGAATCCGAACCAAAACGAAACCATCACGAGCTGTTCGGTGGCCTCACACGACGCGCCAGGGGAAGGCGGAGATCCGGGGATGGATCTAAGAAACAAACTCAGGGCTTCCATTTGCTTAAACCCGCAGGCAAAACCGGCCGTAGATTCCCTTTAACCAAACAACACTATGGCAGTGTCCGAAAGATGCAACAAAACAGGTACCAAGGAAAGAGGGGCGCAAAAGACAGCCTTTTTTGAGGGGAACACGGAAGCAACGCAAACAACAAAACAATAAAGAAGCAATTAAACAAACAAACCGTTCTTCGGTTGCCAAGTCACCCTTCCCAATGCAATCGAACAAGAGAAGGTAGAATGGGACCTGCAAAGATGTCGGCACCTGCAAAAGAAGCGTAGAAAGCAAACAATACGAAAGCATAACATGACCTCCGCAAACATGGCCACCTCCAAAGTACATGGCGCATCCATACACACCCCACCGAACAACGCCCACGGAAACCAGGAGCTTCGTGTGAAGGTGCGGAAGGCAAGGCAATTGTCAGAAAGGCTGCGCATCGGTTTGAGGACGTCTTCAACATATGCACCCAGCAGCATTACAGCATGTCAGAGTGCATGATGATCTGATGAGCAGCCTCCATTTGTGTTGAGCACCCTGGAGAAAAAAAGAAAAAAACAGAAGTCCAATAGTGACAGATCGTGTTCAAAATCAGCCGTATCCTTAACCAAATAGATGGCAGCATGCCGTGCTCTTGGCATCTTGACTTTGGCCAGCGCCGTAACATCCTTTGCCCCGCGAGTGCCGTGCCCGGCGGCCCGAAACCAAAGGAGCCGCTTCACAAATTTTCCGTGCGCCAGAAGCGGCTCAAAAGGTCAGCCTTGCCACACTTGGATACATCCACGACCCGCCAACGACGGAATTTGTTGTTCCCCTCTCAACATCACCCCAGAGGGGAAACTCAAAGATATTCTCAAGCAAATGGAAGAAAGCCAAGCACGGCCTCGCTCGGAGCCTTTTTCCGCTCAGCTCTCGAAAACCGGTGAAACGCTACCTTTGGGCACTTCAGCGCCAGTGAAACTCCGAGACAAGGCGCGAAGTTGCGCATGTTGCTCTCTTGCCCTCCAAGCTTGCTTGTGCGACAGGTAGGGAATGAGACATGGAATGAACAAGTCGGGGTTCCCGAACAAAGGAAACCACCAGTTGGACGGTTTATAGGGAGTCATTCCCTCATTCCAGCAAAGGCTTCCTCGAAGAAGCTGGCAATACCAGTTACCCTATACAGGCATCCTTACATTATACACCTGAACATTGCCTTGTAAATGCTGGTTTCCTTTTTGTTTGTGGAGAAAGCCATGTTTCAAATGGGCAAAATGTGTCTTTTAAGGAGCCCTGCTAGAGATGTGTGGCTGAACACGGACACGCGATAATTTCGACGACTGAGATGGTGACACGAGAGAACAGCGAGCAAACTGCCACTTTCAATGTGGCCAGATCCCGATAGCCAACGACAAAGGAAGCCTTCATGCCTCAATCTCCGCACAAAGCAGACGTACCCGCTGGCAAACTCGCTTGTCTGCAGACACGAAGGGTCAAGTTATGTAGTTCCTGGCTACTGACAAAAAAACATGGGATACATCATCTGAGTCCACAGGGTGTGCTTGAATACTCATACGAGTCGATGTTCTTTTTGGGCAGACCATGTTTTGGATATTTCCGAACGCTTGAGACTGCATGCCATGGCACCAATCAGCTGTTGGACTAACTGTGACAAACTAGTGCGCCGGAGAAACGCCCTCGGTGCATTCTCAGAAGTGCACAAGAAAAAACCAACTGCAACGAGGCTGGTTTTCTGCTTGATTTAGGTTGCGGGGCGGGCATGTTCTGAAACGTGAAAGGCTTGCCCCATGCTTTTGCCAATTTGAATGTCCCCCCGAGTTGTACATAAAGAGAAAACACTCCCAGCTTCAAGAACTTGATGACCCCCGAGTCAAATTCGTGGGATCCTTGAACACTTCGCCCCTCATTCGGCCGCCTCAGCGTCCTCCTCATCCTGACACAGCTGTGGGCGGAAGAATTGGGGACCCTTTGCCTCGCATCCGAAATCCTTGGACACGTGTAAACATAGGGAAACCCTCAAGGGGGTACATGTAAATATAGGGGCCCCCCAAAAGGGGTATGTTTTTTGGGGTGTCCATGTTGAGCCACCTGAAAAAGATACCAAGTACAAACACCAAGGTTCAACACCCCACCACGAATCCAGGATACCAAGCCACAGCGGCCCTTTCGGTTACTCTCAAGGGGGTTGCAGAGACTTTCGACCCCGAGGGGGGGGCACACAACCACCATAGACGGTATATGAGGGTTGATGATGACTTTCACCAGTGAAGCGGAAAAGTTACCCATGGTCACTTTGGGGCCGAACGGAATATTACCCATGAAAAGTAGCACTGGTGTATGTCAAAATAGGGTTGACCCGAAAAGAGTAGTTTTCTGTTGGGGGTTCCTTTCAAACAACCCAAAAATGGGTACCCTCAAACCACACACACACACACAAGCTTTCTACTACAGCCCAGGTTTTAAGACATTCCTGAGATGCTGCGTTGACTGGCGAAAGTTCATCATCCCGGAAACCTTTCTAAGAGGGTTTCTACACTTTTCGTCATGACAATAGCCAGGGTCCCGCATTGGTTTAACCCTGACATATTGCACTCTGGGCAGGGTGGGCCCGGCGGCCCAACTTCTTGTGACAATGTAAGAACATGTTTAAACTAGGTACACCGCCCGTAGTAGCCCGTGTAATATCGTGTGTTTTTTTTGCTTCAGGGCAACCTGTCCAAGCTGCGATTACATACAGGGGGGAAAGGAGAGCACTGTCTGCCCCTCATGTGAAAAGCGCCGACCCAGTGGGGAATTTCTTGCGCCCACTGGCATGCTGCTTTCAAAAGCTTGTTTTTTCAGACCCCAATTATCGTCTGTCAAGCATTTTGCCACGTTCAAGACCACATGCTGCCTGGGAACTGCAAGATGACATCTCTTTTCAGAAACCGATGGGGGAGGGTTCCATAATCTGTGGCTCACCCAAAAGTGATTTCCCCAAATCTTTGTCGGTTTTCGGTTGCAGGCCACACAAAGGTCAGCGTCGTCTGTCTCGCAGTTGACCGCATGTTGCCTCGGAACCGCATGATTTCTCTTTTCAAAAGCCGACGGAGGAGGGGTCATTAATCACTTCCCCTATTAATAAAGGTCTCCCTAATAATAAATATTTGTTTCGGAAGTCCCAAATCCGGGAATACTACTTTTAGAATAGCCAATACTAAACCAATTCTAAAGTAGATATTTTCCTGCCCGTACTCAAATCCAGCCCCATTAGGGGGACCCCGGGGGCACGTTTCCTTTAATTACTACGGCTGTACTACAAAGTTGCAACTTTCAGGCCAGAGCTCCGGGAGCACGTTTCCTTTTCTACGGCTGTACTACAAAGTTGCTGTACCCAAAACCCACAACCAAAAACAACAAAACGTGACCTCAACTCCCGCTACTTAAATTCCTTACTCAGAAATGTGCGTTTGAAGCGATTTTACGGAACGGAACAGGGGGACCACAGTTGCAAACAAGCCTACATAGAACAAGAAGTACCTCCAAAACCTGCCCTCCAGAACCAGGGGACCCCTAATAATAAAAATTGTTTTGCAGGCCGGGTATTTTTTTTTTTATTAGGGAGGGGGGGGGGGGGCGTCGTTTTATTATTGGGGAAGGGATTAATCTGTTGTTCACCCAAAAGTTGACTCCCCAAATCTTGGTCGGTTTTTCGGTTGCAGGCCACGCACAGGCTCTTGAGGAGTCAGCGCCGTCTGTCTCGCATTTTGCCATGTTCAAGACCGCGTGTTGCCTGGGAACCGCATGATGAATTCTCTTTTCAAAAGCCGACGGGGGGATTCTTTGTCGGTTTGTCGGTTGCGCGCTCACAGGCTCTTGCGGAGACAACTATCGTCTGTCAAGCATTTTGCCACCATGTGCAAGACCGCATGCTGCCTGGGGACCGCATGCAAAAATATCTTTTCAAAAACCGACGGGAGTCCTGAATCCGTTGTTCACCCAAAAGTGATTTGGCCAAATCTTTGTCGCTTTTTCGGTTGCAGGCCACACACAGGCTCTTGAGGAGTCAACTATCGTCTGTCAAGCATTTTGCCATGTTCAAGACCGCATGTTGCCTGGGAGCCGCATGATAAATTATCTTTTCAAAAACCGACGGGAATCCTGAATCCGTCGTTCACCCAAAAGTTATTTGGCCAAATCTTTGTCCTCTTTTCGGTTGCAGGCCACACAGGCTCTTGAGGAGTCAACTATCGTCTGTCTCGCATTTGCCATGTTAAAGACCGCATGTTGCCTGGGAACCGCAAGATGAATTCTCTTTTCATGGGGGGTCCTTAATCGGTTTTTCACCCAAAAGCTATTTCGCCAAATCTTTGTCGGTTAAAAAAAGCCCACACACCCTACAACAACAGGAAACAATGAAGTTCTTAAGCAAACTCGAAGAAGTGAAACAATCATCCCCCCCCACCCCCCCCGCCCCCACCCAGCAAAAAACAAAAACACAAAAACAATCAAGCGCAACCCACGGGCGGCTGTGGGCGGTGGTCCAACTACTAGGTCCTCCAGTAAGGGTAAAAGGGCACTACTGGGGGACCTAGAAAAGGTCTCTGAAGGGTTCCCTGAATTACCTATTATACAACGTAACCTGAATACTTGTCTTGTCGCGCAACCAATCCGCCAAGGTTCCAACGCCAGGCCTTGCCCTCCATCCCGTGCCCGCCTCTTGAGGCGGTTCCTGGTCCTGCGGCGGGATCCAACTGGCCCACGGAAATCGCATGCCTTATTTCAAACATGAAAATGCCAACCCAATAGCGGTTAAGATAAGCACTTGCCGTGTCCTGCCCCTCAGGGGCATTGGCCTCTTCCGGAGACGGCGGCACACTATCCGGCACCAGGACGGCCTGAGGGAGCCGGAAAGCGTGAGACCGTGAGACAAGCTGAGGGGGCTGGAAACTTGCCTAGGTCCTCCAGTGGAGAGGTTGGAATAAGGGTACCTAGAGTCTCCATGACCCTTTAAAAATGGGTCAACGACCTCATTATTTTGGGTAATGACCCCATTTTGTAAGGGTCACGGAGGCTCTAGGTACCCTTTTTGCTGTAGTCTATTTTAGTAGGGGAACGTTTTCCAAAAAAGGGGTTAAAAAGGGCACCCAGCTGGGGGGACCTTTGTTGCAGTTGCTGAAGTCCCTTGGAAAAGAATCCTGTGATACATTCCCTTTACAACCAGGGGAAAATGGAAGCAAATGGAAGTAAAGCAGAAAGCTAGTTGTTTACCTAGAGTCAAAGTCAGTTCTGGCTGGTGGGAAGTGTGGACAGACCCCGAATCCAGCCTGGATAATCATTAAATACTGGCAAACTCATGAGGCCCCCCAAAATTGCAAACCCTTGGCAATCAAACTCATGCAAACTCGATGATGCTTGGGATGACGCTTTGAAATGGGTCCTCAGAGGTACTATGAATCTTCGGAACTTGAAAGAAGCCAGGCTCTCCTGGCTGTAGCTCACTCACTTGGAGACACTGGCATAACTATCGGCAGAAAACCAAACCTGGCAAACCACCCTCCGTCTACTTTCTGGATCACGGGACCCAAGGTTGCCCTCCGTCTGCATGTTGAAACTGGACGGGAGTTGCGGTCCACCTGGTGGTTGCATCGCGGACTTCGGAGCCTCGGGATCACAAGGGAAGGGCATCTCTGGGTGGGTGACGCATCCAGTCGCCCAGGCTGTGCTTTTGGCCCTGGACACCCCAAGAAAAGGTCTGAGAAGTGCCCTGGAAAACATGGAGGGAAATGTCACGTGATGAATTCCCGGAGAGAAAGAGGGGACAACAGACCGTAGTCATTTCAACTGAAGAAAGGCAAAAAGCTGTACTTCTCCTAGAGGTTGAGCACAAGGGCAAGAAGTTGCAAAATTCAGCTCCCTCGAATTGGTGGTTTGGTTTGAAGGTGTTCCGGGCAGGTGTGCCATTTACAAACAAGAAATGACCCTCAAAATGCGCACTTTGGACATCAAGGCTACCGCCCGAACAAAAAATACCATATCTGGCATCCCCAACAGCCCCCAGAGGGCTTCCTGAAAACTCTTTCCCCAAACCACCCCTTATCGCCCATCCGGGCCTACTGACCAAAGAGCTTCGAGCTTCTTCCAGCTGTTGAGGAAAAAAACAAAGAAACACATCCGACCCCCCCCCGCCCAAAAATTGCGGTGTCCTCCTTGGTGTCCCTTGCAAACCCAACACAAAATGGTAGCGTTCCTCGTGGTGTCCCTTAAGCACGCGCAAAACAAAGAGAGGAACTGTGAACTGTCACCCCCCCCCCCCCAAAAAAAAAGGAGGAAAACACAAAAAAGAAGAAGAACACGTTTCCGTCACCCCCCAACACCCAAAATCAGATTTTCTCCCCCCTTGCGCCTTCTTGAGGCCTGCGGAGGCATCGACCACGGCCCAGATGGGCTGCTCCAGGTCGATGCGCTCCAGGAGGTCCTGGAGCCACCGCTCAGCTTCCTTGGGGATCCTTCTATGAAAAACACCTGAACATTGCCTCGTCAATGGTGGTAAACCCCTGTATTTTGTTGGAAAAAGCCATGTTTCAAATAGGCAAAATGTATCTTTTAAGGAGCCCTGTTCCTTGGGGTAGAAATCAATGGTCATGGGATGTCATGGGGCTGCGGAGAGGGAGGGGAGAGGGAGCCCAAGTAAGCCCAAACTATTAAGGGAACTTCTCTGTAGTCGATTTCAGTAGGGGAACCGAATCTCCCAACCAAAGGGGAGAGAAGGGCACTACTGCAAAACCTTGAGATTAGTTTGAGTACGACTCAGGTTAGTTTCGTCCTGGAGCTTGAGTACAACCGGTTCCGCTGGGGACAAACCCATCTATGTTTACCAAAACTTGTTGGGGTATAGCTTTCATTGCATACAACAACTCATCTATGCTGTCCAAGACTTGCTGGTGCGATAGGCAGAACAAAGAACCACCTATGTTTGCCAAAACTATGAGGGAATGAACCTGGGGATTCCCTGAAAGCGAGCAGGGATGGTTTGTAGGGGTCATTCCAATTCTCATTCCCTGCTGAGCACCAGCAAGCTTGGGGAAGGTCCCCCAATGTGTAATATAACATCCCAATGACTCAGTTGCCCATAAGACCGACTCATACATCAACAGCTGGAGTTTCTTCTTTTAAGAAGTTTGACCTTCTTGTGGACCATTGGAAAATCGAAAGGCGAACAGGTGCAACATCTGGAAGGTGACACACACCCTGAAGCTGGTACAATGCTTCAGGTCCCTACGGATCCCAGCCACCATGGCAACCTGCAACTTTCTGTTGGCTTAAGGCTGGCTCCCTTTGCCTAGGTCCTCCAGTGGAGAGGTTAGAATAGGGGCTCCCTTTTTTTTCTGTAGTCTATTTTAGCAGGGGACCCCTCCCAAAAAAAAGGCAAAAGGGCACTACTGGGGGACCTAGCCAATACACAGGAAATTGGCGTCACTGGGTTTGGCTAGTCGCCCACTTTGGCGAGCACCACCAATTGCCGGGGTTGTGGGAATTGCCCGCCGTGATCATGGAAGGCCGTCATCAGGAAATGTATAAATGGAAGGCTCCTTGGCCCACAAAGGGGTAGGCAGAAAATCAGATTCTCTTCTGCTTCATTCTGTGGACGAAATCCGGTACTTTCAATCCATGCTTGAAACCGTGTCTTGGCATTTACGTTGGGGAATCCTCAGAAACCAGGGTTTCTGAAGGACGGACTTTGTCCATCCACAGTACTTGGTCCCCATAGATGCGTTTTGAAGGGGACTCCTGGCTTCTTCCGGTGCAGTGCGAACCAACTCCCTCCCAGCGACTCGCTGGCAGGCAGGTCCTCGGGTGCGTAGGAGAGGACCAGCCGGCGATTGATGAAGATCTCCTGAGATGTGGTTTGGATTTGTGTATCTACTCACTTCCGATCGAGTGGATTGGTCAGAAAACAAGTAACCACACTTTTACACTTACCACTGCAATGGTCTACCCAACATGTGACTAGAGTCCATGAACTCAGGGAGTGAGGCTCCGCACCTCTTTGGGGTGGGTTTGAAGGAAAATGCAAAAGGAACACCAAAGCCAATTTAAGGTCCATGTTTGTGGTGTAGCAATATGTAGATAGAAACCAGGGACTCTCCTATGGTTGCTATATTCAACTTGAGAACAACGGGAGTCCTGCACACTTCGGGGTATCTAACTGGAAATGAATGGAACACGAAGCTCCCGCTTATTTGTATCACAAGCCACGGACCAGAAAAAAATGCTGCAAGCAAAAAGCCGTTATATTAACTGCAATGGGAGTGAAAGCCATCTCGCCCCAACAATATCAATGTTGTTGAGCATTGGAAGAAAGCTACATATTTGCTGGCCTTGCATTTCTGTATCCGACTCACATCTATCATGAACCAGGACTGTCTCTCATTTCACCATCGGCCACTTGGTCAAAGCTTGACCTTTGCCAGTGACCCTTTCCTGATTGGAAAACGTCATTCATGCCAAGGTCACAACGCTGTGAATAAATGGCCACAATTTGACACAAGGCATTCGGTGGGAATCGAATTGAGCGCCTGGTTGATTTTGATCCCAGGGTGTCTCTCGTGGAAATCCCCTGCACCAGGTGGATTCCGGAGTCAACATCAATCGATCTGTTTGAACCGGCGAGAAATGTGAGAAACTGGAGGGTGGGGGGGAGTTAGGATGTCGGAACCGAACGGAGCGGGTTTCTTCTGAGGTCTTGCAGAGTTTTCGAACTTAAAGAGCATCCCTTGAAAATAAAACGACCGCTGCCCGTAGACTTTGCCATATACTTTCTCAAAGTTAGCCCCGTAGCTTGAGCAGACCTTGGTTGACGTTGGAAGGGGAGCAAAAATTCAAATTTTAGCAGTTAAGTGTGGATTTCCCACCAAACCACAAAAAGCAAAAATGTAAAATGTTTCCCAACGACAGCCATGAGACTGAACCCCAAGTGCTGTCCTCTGACCAAATCAAGTCAATTTGGCATCTGAGGCCCCTCGCCAGGCCGCCCATCACATTCGCGAGGGCCTAGGATCTTTCCCAGGCTCCCAAAAACATGCCTGAAAAAAAGTAGCGTGGTCGTTTCTGCATAGGGGGCGGGGAGCTTCGACATGCGCACTTTGTGGAGGGGCTTCCGCGAGCAAAACTTCCGCGGCACTTTAGCGCGTTCCCTCGCATTTCCTCGTATGGTTTCCCCCTCACGATTTGACGACACACACACACACACATCCAAATGCTAGCATGTCCTTCCAGAACTCCTGGTAGGTCCTTAGCCCCCTCTTTTCAAAAGCAAGTTCGGATACCAGCTCCTTGGCTCCCTTCCAACCACCAGCTATGTCATGAAGCTTGGCTCAGCATCTCTTGCTCCGCCGCCCTTCCGCGTCCCCGCGCACAGAGTGGGAGGTTGGAAGCTGATGCCCCAGTCTGGAAGTTCGCAATACAAGGCCGAAGAATTTCATGGCACCGGGTGTTTGCGCGCGAGGCTAAAGCTTTATATCTTGGTTGCTGTTGACCCCCTGCAAAAAGCTGAACTCTTTTTTTGGGGGGGGGTTTAGTGCAAAACCCCTTGATGTCCCAAAAAGTTAAAGTCTAAAGATCCAACCCAGTAGCAGTCAAGATATGTTCAATGGTGAATTCGGATCGAAATGACCAAATCAGCTTCCTTTTTGGCGTGGCGTTCAACGTTGGGCAAACCGCGTGCCTGATGCCCTGCGACCACGAAGGTCGGAGGTCGCAAGTCGCTTTCGACCCAAGGCAGGGTTCCGCCTTCCCGGCTCTAGCTCGAGGGAAGCTCAAGAAAACGACTCGGCAGAACTGAGAACGGAACCTAAGAAACCAATGGTCGAATCTCCTGGACTCCTTTTATGTGAGCAGCCGGGAAAACGGTTATTTTGAGCCAGAGAAAAGGAAGAACACACACTGATTGTTTGCCAGTGATTTGGTGCAACTTCCATTTGCGAATACGCCCCCTGGACCAAAATGAGACGATATTTCCTAGTTGATCTCGATTCCCATTGAAAACCAACCAGGCAAAATAATAATAATAATAATGATAATAATAATAATGCCTAAAGAAAAACACATATATTCCTGTTCCAGTAGTGAAGCCGATTCCCTTCAAAGCCAACCAGGCCTACCAAAAAAAAGCTCGAATATCTTCGCTGCAGCACCTGGAAGCGGCCCTTAGGCCTCCACGTTTCTAGGGGCTGATTCCTTGTCCATTCATTTCAACCATCCTTTTCAAAAACCGGATCCGTTTCCCTGGCTAGGATCCCTGGAATGGGAGGGTACCCCTACCTAGAGTCTTCATGACCCTTTGAACATGGGTCATTGACCTTATTATTTTGGGTAGTGACCCCATTTTTTAAGGGTCATGGAGACTCCAGGTAGAATCTTTCATTTCTCCGAGAGACGCCGATGGTGAAGGTCCTCGCCGGCGCGAGGCGGCTGAAGATGGAGGCCGCCTGAAGCTCGCTCGCGCTCGCGCTCGGGCTTGCTCGCTCGCTCGCTTCGCGTGGATCCGTCTAATGCAGGTCCGAAAAAGGGGTGCAGGGGTTCAAGAAAGCCTCTGGGTGTACTAGGGGTAGCTTCCCCATTCTTAGGGATCCTTCCTTCCAGAAAACCCAACCCTGGGAAGCAGCTGGTTCTTGAAAAGACACATGGTTGAAGCAGGTTGAAACCCGGGGACCTCAACTTGACGCGCCTATATGAGGGGGCCACAAAGAAACAGGGGAATAAGCGTCTCACACGGGACCCTTTGGAGGGAGAAAGGAACATGAAAACCAAGCTAGTTGGGAAAGTCCCCAAACAATCATAGAAACGCCCAAACAACAGGGAGAGCAAAACAAAAACAGACTCTCTTTTCTTTGGGCAGCTCCCTGAAAAAGGCTACGTTTGAGGGGTTCTCAAAACCATGCATGTTATGGGCGTGTCAGAAGGGGTTCCCTTTAAAAGCACAATGCAATAGAGCAGACCCATTTAGAGGCTGGGTGTGAGGATGTCACAAATGGGAGCTCTAGGCTCTCTTGCCAGGTTTCCTTTCAAGGTCGAAAAAGGTGGGTTTCCTTTGGAGGGGGTTTTCCTTGGAGGAGGTCCAAAAAGCTGGGCTTTGAGGCAGCTTTGGCCCAAAGACAGACTCCAACACCAACTTGGCTCCGAATTGCAGGGAAACCATTCCCCATGTTACAAGTTTACCACAAAGGAGCAATTTCGATCATGGCGAACCTAGCAAATCCTAGCACACATCTGCCCAAATCTGGCTAACTGCCCAAATCAAAGCGCGCCTCCCTCTTCTCTCCGTTCCAGTAGAGGGATCGGGCATATCCACATACCTCAGGCAAGATTGGCGCCGATCCAAGCCCAAGCCTTGAAGATGATTTGTCCCTAGGGTGATTGGCTAGATTGGCTGCTACATATTTGTCATTGGCTCAGCACATATCTCCATCGTCTCACCCTCAGGCCGCCGGTTTGATCTTGACTACCACGGACCCAACAAAGGGCCACTCACCAAACTTGCTTGCGTGGAGACTGACCCCTGCGGTCTCTGGGAATAGAATTTCCTCAGGCTGCCATTTTTCTGGGCGCAGCGAGGTCGCGACGACCTGCTTCGGTTGCTACCAGGTAACCAAAAACCGTGGAAAATCTGAAGGAGCATAGGGGTGGCGCGTGTCAAAACGCGCTGGTTTTCTCCTGAAAGGCGTTCATCGCGGACCTGGAGAGAAACACGACAACTGATAAATCTGTTGAGGTAGAAAAATACGGCTCCAGATTGCCTGAGCTCCGGATTGCCTACGTGCTCAAGGACACACGCACACACAGAGAAACAACCCAGCGAGACGGAGACACAGAGACGGAGACATAGAGACGCTCAGGGGCCGACACGAAAAGACACACAGAGACGCAGCGACGGACACAGCAGCAAATAACCACCCCACCCCACAGGGAAACACCGAAAATATGCCAGGACACACAGAGACACACCAATACACATTTACACACACAATCACACCCACAAACCACACAGCATTGACAGCATTGCACCTCATCGCGCAACACCACAGATTTACACCTATATACACGCGCACAAACACAAACGCAACACAAACACAAACACAAACACAAACACAAACACAAACACACACACACACACACACAGACAGAGAAACACACGCACAGACACACACACACACACAGACACACACACACACACACAGACACACACACACACACAGACACACACACAGACAGACACACACACACAAAATCCTTCCTGAGAATAAAGGTCCCCCTATAATATTAACAAATATCAAAGTTCTGAAGTCCTCAATACTTACTTGAGAATACGCAAGTTCTAAACCAATACCAATCTCGCGATTTTCTTGAAATGTCCCCTCCAACCCAGGATCCATCCACATTTGGGGGCCTGTTGGAACCAACACTAAACCAATACCAAGCCAAGACAAGTTAAACCAATATGCAACCCACACATATTCGCAAAATGTCGCTGATGTTTGCTGCTTCAGTTCCTTGCTCAAGTTGTTTTGAGGATTTTTGGGGGCGAGGGACCTCAATGGACAAGCACTGAAGAGGACGAAAAGGACTCGGGTCCCCTAAAAATAAAACTGCGTTCCCACGACTTCTAAATATTCGGGGAACCGGATTACAACACAAACACAACACGCTTGTCATTTCCTTGCCCTACGCGCGCAACAAGCCTTGTTTTCATCATTGCCTTCGGCTTCCTTCCACGAAAGCTTTGGGTCCTTTCAGAGCTGCAGAAAACTACCTAGAGTCTCCATGACCCTTTGAAAATGGGGTCATTACCCAAAATAAAGAGGACCCATTTTTGAAGGGTCATGGAGACTCCAGGTACTCACAATTGCACTTTCTTGCTGCGTCGAAGATTGGCCACGGAGATCATCTTGCTGGGGCTCAAGCTGCGCTGTATATCACTTGTTGGACTGCGCCTGCACTTCGTCGCGTCGGGACTTCCTGTCTTGCAAACTGGCTCGTTCTACGATAGAGCTTCTTGCAATCCTGCACAACATCCACCTGGAATGTGATAGCAACATTGAAAGCAGGGCTTGCGCGAACCTGTGGGGTGCACATGCTCAGTAATACTTTCCCTCCTGCCACTATGTTCACATTGCGCCAACAAAACTCAATGCTTGCATGAAGAGATTGAGGTCCATTCCATATTGGCATAGATAGCCGCTGTTGTTTTGCTACTATACAAAACTGTTGACAGGCCGATATGTTCATCTCCCATCAACCGCCAACAACTTAATGCTCCTTTCAGATGGCGCGTATACATTGACTGACCTTTACCGGTGAAAGTTATTTCCCGCAAATTGACGACAATTCGCAAGTTGAAGGTAAGTCTGTTTTCGCACTTTGACAAATAGTGTTGTTGTTGACTGCAACTTAGCTGACATTGTATGTGGGTTTGAGTCAATTTAGGGGAAAAATGGATGGCTTCCTTTTGGTGTCCCCTTCAAAACACCCCCACACAGGCTGATTTCCAGAGTGGATTGGCAAAAGCAAGCAACCAAACAATACCACTCAACAGTGTTCTTCCAAAGAGTGACGAAAGTCCACCACTCAAAATTGTTTTTCCAAAAAGTGACTAAAGTCCAGGAACTGAAAAGTTATGTTTTCCAAACAGTGACTAAAGTCCACCACTCAAAAGTTATTTTCCCAAAAAGTGACTAAAGTCCACCACTCAAAAGTGTTTCTTCTTCCAAGAAGTGACACTAAAGTCCGAAACTGAACTCGGGAAGCGAGACGGGGATACCGGGATCGCGGACCGCTCGACCATGGCCCCCGGGCGTAGGATTTGGGGATGCGGCCTGCGCAGCCCGGCAGCGCCTACGGGCTTTGCCGCGGAGTCTTGCGCTAACCCGGGTGTGAGTCTCGTTGGTTTGTGTGGCCTCATTTTTTCGTTCAGGGGGGGATGTGTTTTTTTGTTTTTTCTTTTCCCGACCCTCAGAAAGGGTGAGCTCTTTTTTCTCCCCCCTTTTGAAAAGAACCCCCTTTTGATACGAGGCCCCGAAAAAAAGTTCCCAAATAGGGGTGAATAGGGGACCCCAAAAGGATTTTTAGCTATTTTGAGGGTACTCACGAAAATCATGATACCTGCAACAGCTATAGGGACATCACAACCAACGTGCAGCAACCCCTCCAAAACGCATCCATGTGCCGCTTTTACTAGCCATCACAGCTGCTGATGCTTCCCCTTCAACATCAGAAGAGGAGGCCCCTACTTGAAACGTGGGTGTATGTCTGCCTATTATTGTATGACGCAAGCTCACTGGACCGATTGGCAGGGGGGTAAAACGAGTTCAAGCCATGATAAAGTTCGTTTACTTGGGGATTCCCTAATTCAGCTTTTGCATGGAATGATAGTAGCAACTGCAGATGCATGTGGGCGAGTCTTTCTGTTTTGGAGTTGGTAGCTTTGTTGGAGTGGTTTTACAAACCAAAAGGAGACTTGCCATCTTTTTGGGGGGGCTCCTCCCTACTTTGAGACACGGTACGGCACGGCATGTGTATGTGTGTCACAAAACAACGAGCAATGCGGAGCTTTACATGCACCTGATGGGTATATTTGTGTGTGTGTGTGTATGTATTTGAGTGTGTGTATCTGTATATGTATATGTAAATGTATATGCATGTACACCTACATTCCTGTGTGTGTTTGAGGGTGCCCTTGTTGGATTGCAGGGAGTACCAAACGGAAACCCCCGTTCTTTTCGGCGCCCCTGTTTTGGGACATGCTCATGTGTGCCAGAGTCCTTTTGCTTCGGGGCTGGACTGCTACTGGGTTGGATCTTTAGACTTTAACTTTTTTGGGAAATCAAAGGGTTTTCCACTAAACCCCCAAAAAGTTAAACTTTTTGCAAGGGGGTCAACAGCAACCAAGGGGGGTGGCGGGGATTGGCATACAGAATTTAGACAACAATAAGACTGTCTATCGGAACCATGACCGGAGGCCGCATGCAGAGTTTTTACTGTTACACATTTGTTGGGTACCCCGAAATAATGTCCAGTAACACCCCCCAGATGCTCACTTCCTGAGTGGGATCGGCCCCAAAAAAAGTCTGAACTCATATATTTTTTACCACCAAAACGGTCTTCCCCAACAAAAAACAATGAACGGTCTTCCCCCCCCCCAAAAAAAAAACATGAACGCCCAGGACCTCAGGGCTTCCGCCCCTCGCTGGGTGTCCGCGCTGGGGCCGCCTCGCCCTTCAGCGTCTCGGGGTCGGTGCCGGTGAAGCCGATGCCCATGGGGCTCCTGACGTCTCTCGTCTCTCGCGTCGCATGCGTCGCGTCGGATTGATTGTGTTTTTGTGTTTTTCGCGCGCGAAACCTCGGGGAGGAAATGTCACGTGCTCCAGATTCGAGAGGCTAGAATAAGTTGGCGCCAACTTCTTCGGGGTCTATTTTAGTAGGGGCTTGCCCCGACCAAAAAATGTTAAAGGGCACTGGCAGACCTGCAGTAGTTTCGTGGGAGGTTTTGAAGGGAAACCCCCGACAAATGGAAGCAAGGCGCGTCTGGGGTCTGGAAATGGCAAGGGAAGCCCCAAAGCTGAAGCAGAGGAATCACTGGAGTTCTGAGTTGTACCTGGAGTCTCCATGACCCTGAAAAAATGGTTGGTCATTACCCCAAATAATGGGGTCAATGACCCATTTTTTAAGGGTCATGGAGACTCCAGGTACTTGCCTCTGCCACTTTTTGGAGGTCAGTGAAGGGAAATGGCTCGGAACCCCCCTGCCAAAACTGTCCATGTTCAGATCTGCCAAAGGTTGACTGCACTTTCAGTGGGCCAAACCAACCGAAAACCGAGCCTAAGGGACCAGAATGCGAGCCAAGAGAAGAAACACCTGCTGGCCCCAGTAGTTGTTCCGAAGTTACCCGTTTTAGCGGCAGGGTAAAGGTTCTCACTGGCTGAGTGGATGGCCCAAAACAAGTAACCAAACTTTATGTTTACCACTAAAATGGTCTTCCCAAAAAGTCTAAAGTTCATGAACTCAGGAAGTGAGGGTTAAAGAGGAAACAACCACCAACCAGTTTCTGACTTTACCCCCAGAAACGGTATGACCCAGTATTACGAAAGGGAGTTATGGAGATTGGAGACGTGGATTCCAACGCGGCTTGGGTCGCGATTCTGACCTAGGACCCAACACGGGTTCCATGGCAAGGGCAGAACCCCTGAAATTGTCTACCGGTGAAGCCGCCGGAAGACTTCAACCTGGGCCTGGGATATCAAGGGACACTTCTGGTTAACCCCGGATCTGGGTAGAGCTTGATTTTGGTCGGGGGGGCTGTCCCCACTCAAATTCATCACGTGAGAAAACCGCAAACAATAGGACCGGTTTATATAAATCTGGGGTAATTAAAATTTCCGCCCACACCTGGACGATCCCAAATGAGTCACGTATTGGAAATGCTTCCTGAAGAACCAAAGACTGTCCAACACCAATTCATGGACTTGCCCAAATGGGAATTCCTCTCCGATGGTTTCTGCTCCATGTCAATCTGCTCAGCGGTAGGTAGCTACAAAAACCACAGCAAACCATCGGGGCCCCGATATGCCGCATCCGATCCGAGCAATTAGGTCCTCCTCCAGTAGAGAGGTTAGAATACGGGTACCAACTTTTTTGTGTCTTTTTTTTTCAGTAGGGGAACCCTCCCAACCAAAAGAAAGGTGAGAAAGGGCACCTAGCTAGGGAGACCTAGTCATGCTTGGGCCCCGGCATCTCGCCCCCCGCCAGGGAGTCGATTCGCATCTCGAACCAGCACCTCCGGTCAGGACGACTCTTGGGGGATAAAACAAACAAAAAACAAAACAAAAAAACGCGCCCACCCTTCCCAAATAAATCCAACAAAATGTCCACTTCTCACCTGACGACCTCGGCAACCATGCAACAAATGGCCACTGTTCAGACCTCGGCCATTTTTGTTTCATGAGCTTCGGAAGCGACCGGATCCGCTTGGCCGCGTGCCCTCTGCCAGCCAGACTCCGCACCGGCTCGGCGGAGAAGATCATCTGGCGGATGGCGTCAGCGGAGTCGGAACGAGGCTTAGCTTCTAAACCCAGAGAGAGACGCTTGGGGGCGACCCCAAAAAATGGAGAGTGGGGGACCTCCCAGTGAGAAACACGAAGAAAAATAGTAAACCCAGACTAAGGTAGTCCTGGATACCCAGTTGCGATCGCTGTTTTCCATGCACTTTGCCATCCAAAAATCGATCGCAACAGTGACTGAAAAAAGCGATCGCAACTTGGCTATCTAGGGTCATGATTTTGACGGTTTCTGGGGGTGAACAAAGTCAGAAAATGGTTGGTTGTTTCCATTTAACCCACCACTTAGGAGGTGACGTTGATCATGCTGAAATAATGAGGCCGGCCAGAGACGTTTGGGGATGGCCCCAAAAAAATGGAGAGTGGGACCTCCCACTGAGAAACACGAAGAACAATAGAGTGCTTGTAGAAAACCCAACCTCCCACAAGGTCCGTTTCCGAAATACGAGGCTGCAACCCACAAACGTTGAATCTTTCTGAATCCAAAGGTCCCGACTTGTAGGGGCGAAAGCCAAGTGCGATGCAGGGACTTCACCGGAGGTGCGCGAAAAAGGACTTGCCAATGCAGAATTGAACCAAAGGACCAACATTCCATCTTTTGAAATGCCGGAAGACGATATGTTGGACAAACTCAAGGCCTGAAATATGACGTGCCACGGCCCATCCCCCTTCCCCGAATCCATTCCATTTCTCTCGCCTTCCTCAGGGGGAGTCTAACCAGAAATGAAACTCCAGTACCCCGGGCGGTAAGCCCCTCCCCAAATTCTTAAAATTGTTTAATGGGGGTGGGAGATAAGGGCCAGCCAACCATCTTTGAAGGAAAAAGCAGGCCCTTGTATTCTGGACCATTGGCAAACCACAAGATCTGATCCCGTCGATTTGCTTTGGGTACCTCATGATGGAACATCAAATTCGTGTGCGTGTGCAATGCGTGCAGCAGGCAACCGGAGAGCGGCAAAGCCGGCAAGGGGTATTGATAGAATATGTTTCCCATTCGGGAAGCTCAACAAAGCGGCTTCCCACAAAGCACGTGCAGAGTTTAGGCAAATTAAGTGCCTTGCCTTCTTTTGCCTAGGTGCCGTTACTTCAACTCGCTGGTCGGGGCTTGCCTTTGTTGACATTGGGGGTTTTGAAGGTGATTCTTGTGATCAGGGTCTTTGCCCGGGATTTGCATGCGCGCGGAAATGGTCCGTGGCAAAGGGACTTTCTTTGTAGCGTTTTGGTCGGGCGGGCTCAGGGCAAACGAAGGCACTTGCAGTACTGCGTGCGAAAAACATATTCGGCATCATAGGTTCGTGGCAAAGAAAGGATGTACGTATTGCAAACAATCAACCCCCCTCCCTCCCTCACGCCTCACGCACCCCTTGTCACCAGGAAAGCGGAAAGATTGGGCTACGAGCCACATGTGTTCAATTTGTGCTTCTGCCAGCAATGCGATTATCATTTTACACTAGTGAGTTCCACGCAAGTAGAGGGTTTGCATGGCTCAATGCTCGGAAAGACTTTCCCGGACGGGTGGGCAGCCTTGACTTCAGCAACCCCAGGTGTCCGAAAATCGTTCAAAACCGGACTCCCAAGAGATATATCGCTACCAGCATCCAAAGTCTGCTTTGTGGACAGGTGGGGGTCGATCAAAAGGTTCTTCACATGACCAGTGGTCGAAAAAAACCCACTAAATGATGATAATCCCCACATGGGAAAAGTTACCCAGGGTCAAAACTCGGGGGGGGGGGGGGGCGAAGGAAATACTGATCAACCCCCAGTTGGGGTTTTCCATGAACCAAAAAGAGCCCTTGGTGCTCGGGCCTTCGGCTCAGTCTTGTGCTGGATGCCGGGCCTAACTCGAAACGATTTCCGGTTTCGGACCGAAAGTGGAACATGGGCATGTGGGGGTTGAGGCAAAAGAGTCCCTTCGGCCTGACGTGACCATTTGTCATTCTCTTTATGTGGGAAATATCGACATTTTTGTGGCTTTCCCCAATGGTCATCTCACGTAAAGGACCTTTTGATCAACCCCCATGTGTCAAAAAAGGTGTAACCACAAAGCAAACCACACCCAGAGAAAGACACGCAAGCGGGGTTGACCCAGACCAACATGCAGCCAATTGCCAAGGCCACGGAAATCCATTGGGGGAAATCCTTGGCAGGAATCAGAGGAACCAGGAGTAAAGCGCCACGCTTTGCCATGCGGGGAAACTCTGGGTGTCTGTTTGTGCTTTGTGCGGGACCCCACACATGGTGATCTGATGGTTGTCGCTTTGGCTTCCCTTGAGCCAAAAAAGGGCACAGATTCACACTCAAAAGGGGACCAACATGAAGCAATAAAATTGCAATGCTTTTTGCCATGCGAAAGCTTCAGGAAATCCATGGGTAAATTGCACTTGCGCCCCATGCTGACACGTCCAAACAGCCTCCAAGTTGGGGGAGGCATTCCTTGGGCAAAAGAAACTCACCTTCAGATATGGAGATGGGTGTGTCTTTTCGTTGACAGACCCTATTAAACAGGGCTGTGGGAAATGCCCACTTCTGTGATACAACCAAAAGGGCCTGCCAAAGACTAACCCCCCCCATATAAAGAGGGGGTTCCCTTGTATCACAGAAGTGGGTATAAACCCCTTGATCCCACAAGCCTGCTTTTAAAGCAAGGGTTTTCACCAGGGAAAGCCGCGAAACGAGATGGGTCCGCCTGAAAAACCCAGCGTTCATCGTCCCGTTCCTTCGCGGTTCTTCGGTGTCTGAGTGCTTCGAAGGGGCCCAGAGGGCGGGCAGCCTTGCACGCATTATTAAGGGACATTGGGCCATGGCCTCTGGTCAATCAAGGAATTCCAGGGGCAAAATGTGAAGCCTTTGAAGCCAGGCTCATCTGCTTTCTGCCAAGGATTTTCTTCAAGGGATTTTTGCACGTATCCTTGGCAATTTGCTGCACGTTGGTCTGGGTCAAAATAGGGTTTGGGTGTCTTTCTCTGGGTGTGGCTAGCTAGGTGAATTGGCCTAAAAGGACCCGAACTGGTGACATCAAAACATCGGTGGGGATACACGTCCGGCCACTTTTGAGGCGCCAAGTCTGAAGATTCATGGTTGGGAACGACCTTCTTGCAACATGGGTATGTGTCAAAGAGGAGCCACTTTCTGAAAGCAGTGGGTTTCCTCGTGTCCCCGAGGAAAAAAATAAAGTTAAAAAGAAACTAACAGGTACCGAGCCTCAAAGACTAACACACACACACACAGAGGATTGCGGGTATGGTGAGGATAGTCAATGTATACAATATATATATATATATATGTATGTCTATGGGCAACCAAAACGAACACCTCCATGTGTATATATATATATATATATACATATGTGTACATATATATATATATATATATATCGGGGAGCAGCTACAAAAAAACACGTTCATTGTGTTTGCCAGCTGTAATTTGACCCTGGGCAAATTGGGTTGGGCCTAAAAGCGACGTCCCAAGGGATACATCTAAAGCCCCACGTTTGGTATATGTAGAAAGCCCTTGAACCAGCTGGATCGATAGGGAAATGAGAAACCAAAACCATCCCCGAATTGATTTCGTTTTAAGGGAATACCCTTCGGGTTCATTCTCAACCTGGAAGGTCATTCCCTGAGAAAGAGAGCAATTCGACATGAAAGCGGAAATGAAGCCACTGCCAAGCCACCCCCCCCCCAAAAAAAAGGAAAAGGTGTACTCGCGGAAGCATTCGTGGCTCTATTCTTTGGAGAGCGTTTTGGGTTTGCTGCTCCCACAGTAGAAACAAAGAAATTCTGCGAATCGTCTGCGCCCTGAAGACTTGCAAGTTTGGTTGGAATCACCCCGAACTGAATCATGCCCTCACCTTGGTTGACGTTGGAAGGGGAGCAAAAACTTAAATCTTAGCAGGCAAGTGAAGATTTCCCACTAAACCACAATAAGCAAAAAAGTAAAATATTTCTCAACAACAACCATGTCACTGTTTCCTTTCAGGGATCCATTGCTTGCCCAAAACCCCTCAAAGCCTCAAACGATGCCCGATTTGAGAAAGAAGCAGCCTCGGTTCCCCAAGTTTGGACCCAGAAAACCCAGGTGATCACCTTTTGCTAGAATTGTTTCTTTAAAGGTCGAAAAAGGTCGGCACCAAAGGAAAAACCCACCCCATCCGGTCTCAGGTCTCCGTCCTTCCCCGGCCCGGGCCGCCGGGCACGTGGGGCTTCCGCAGCACCTGCAGCCCTTTGAGCAGCACCCTCAGCCCAAGCTCCCGGCTCGGCCCATGAGATCGGGTCCGACACTTGGCGGCTCGGCCGCTGTTGGCCGCCTATTTGGGGGGGGAAACAAAAACAAGAAGACCCTACGGTATCAACCATGCCTAGCAAAAAAAAAGAGTCATCTAATTATTTATGGGAAAAATGAGATGTTTTCCGGTTGTGAAGTCGAGGCCCCTTTAAAGCCAACAGGGGAGAATAACTAGTATGCTTAAGCAAATTGAAGGCTTCGTTTTTCTGCGTCCTAAAACAAGGCTTCGGGGTCGGTTTCCCGGATTTGGGAGGACGAAACAAACTTGGCAAGTTCTTCTTGGCAACCTGGGACGTTTTGTCTCACCCGCTTATAGCCTTCCCTAAGGACCCTTAAAAATTGGTTGGTCACTGACCCCAAAATCATGGTTGGTTAATGACCCATTTTTGATTCGGGTCATGGAACTCTAGGTAGCTCTCCCCTTTAAAGAAGTTAACCCTGTCAGTGACCACTTGCTAACTTGGTGGAGCATCCAAGTACAAAGAAAGTCTTTGCAAGGGGTACTTCCATCACCTAAGCCCCCTGGACAACAAAAACATGTCCGTAGTGAATCCCTTTGAAACCAACGAGGGAAATCCAAAAAAGCATTTCAGCAAGTAGAAGGGTACATCTTGCCCTAAAATGCCCTTTGCCTTGAGCTTCCCACCCTTCGCAGGGCTCTTCGCCGAACTTGATCGCCATGGCTTCTACACTTTCTGCACGAAGCCCGGGCACACGTGCCGCGCGCGTGAGTCATACACAAGTCGGCTGAAAAAAGACTTGCAGGCTCATGTGCAAAATGTAACCCAAACAATGCGCCCCCATCAAGAGCAAGTGCCAAATACAAAACCTGCCTCTCGCATGTCTCTTGGATCTAATGATCTAATGGCCAACATGTGGTCTGGGAGCCGGAGCGGCGAAGAATGTCGATCCACTTGAATCAGAACACTTCATTGTCATGCATCAATACCATCACGGGGAAAGGAATGCCACCCCTTGAACGAGCATCTTGGCTAGGCTCTTCTCCACACTTGCCCTCTCTCCCAGTAACCTCCAAAAGGAATTTGATCTTCCAGGTACCCTCCCACAGGTGCCATGTCAGTGAGAGGGAGGCATGGCTAGTGTTGCCTGCCGCATTCAAGGAACTCATCTCATCACATGACCTCTCTCAATTGAGTCTCTCTCTCTCTCTCTCTCTTTCTCTCTCACCTCGCTTTTCTCCTGGCCACTGGCCACATCTTCGACGTGCCCACATCTTCGACGTGCCCACATAAATTTCAGACATGAAATGAAGGTAGTGGCTGCCCATGTGTGCAAACGAGAGGAGAGAACTCACGTGTGGTCCGTAGGTCCGTATAGGGCCTTGGTGCCACGGTGTTCGCTGGGTCGGGAGCTCTGCTGGAAGACAGGTGACGAGCATTGAAAGGCCGGAGATGGAGCTGGCATATGCTCCTGGAATTGCAATAGCAGAAGCTGGGCTGAAGCATGCTATATAACCTACGTCCTCCAGTAGAGAGTTTAGAAGAAGGGTACCGTTTTTTTGTTTTTTGTTTTTTTTCCCCCCGTATTCTGTTTTAGTAGGGGAACCGAATCCCTGAACCATAAATTGGTTGAGAGAAAGGGCACTGGGGGAGCTAGTAGCTAAACAAGCCGAGACCTCGGAACTGAGCAGCAGTGCCCAGACAACATCTCGCTCGCCAGCAGCAAATCACGATCCCCTTCAGGGATTGCTTGGCATTAGCCTCACTCGTGGAAAGCGGCGGTCCATTATGGACTCCAAAATATTCACTCACTCTTGGCGGGTGGCTATGATAGTGTACAAATGCATCGTGCCAAGGTTCCATCTGTGTCCATTTACACTCTTGAGGCGCGCGGCCGTGCATTTGTCCAATCGCCTGACCCAAACTTTCAAAGCGAGATCCTCGGCAGCGGGTCAATGGATTCGCGCTCCTGCGGGGCGGGGGTGGCGGTTCCCGAAGGCTTGATTTGGTTGGGGTTTTATAGACATCAAAATTCGGTAGGTGAACCACTTTTGAGGTGATCTACCTAGAGTCTCCATGACCGGGTCATTGACCAACCATTATTTTGGGTAATGACCCCATTTTTCAAGGGTCATGGAGACTCAAGTTCACATGCGTTGGGCGTTTCACCAGCGGCCACAGCATCTGAGCCATTGAAAAAACCTTGAACCAGGAGGGTGCTTGTGGATGTCGGAGCTGCTACTCGGCCTTGCGAAGGGAATGCAAGAGGCCTCTCTTTTTTGGAAAGAATCCGACATTTGGGAGGGTTGCTCGAAAAGAAAGCAGAACGAACCAACAAGAGCCGACATCCTGCCAGTGAACCAGCAGCTTCCTAAGTAGAGGGGATGTAGAGCAATAAGTCAAACTGGACGAATGACCTAAATCACAAGAATCGATCATCAACACGCTGAAGGTTGCCCACTGGTTCCTGCAATGACTCAGCAGATGATTGTATGTTATAATGTTCAAAAAAATGAGGCCAAAAGCTAGATTGTGATATATGTTGTGTGTCGCCTTTGCAGGGTTGCATCGACCCTTGCACAAGGGTTGAAGTTTGGCCGGCAAAAGACAGAATCCAAATCCAATTTCCTACCTGGCTCAAAATTAACCAGCTGGGGCAAACCGCAGGTTTTGGTCCAGGTTTCCACTCAGGGCAACCCATTTTGGCCATTTCCGGCTTTTTGAGCCACTGGAGCCTATGCTGAGCCACTGTGGTTTTGGAGCACATCGCTCTGCCCACTCCTCGAGTACATCTGGCTCCGGGTCGTCTGCAGCGGGACGGGACGGGGACACTCGACTGGCCATGGGTCAAAACCCAAATCGGTTAGCCCCCAATGAACATCAACCAATCCAACCACGAAAATAGGTTTGGGTGGTGAGAATTCACCTACCAACCAAAATGGCACCATTGGTTTTGACCCACAGCCAACTAGGTCCGGTAGAGAGGATAGAATAAGTTGGTACCGTTGCTTTTTCAGCTTTGTCTATTTAGTGGGGGAACCCTCCCCACAGGGTAAAAGGGCACTGGAAAAAAACGATGGACCAAATCCATTTCGCACCACCTAAGAAACCCTGGAATGATACGATTCCCCTATAAATACCAACCAAGAATGGTTTCCCATGGCTTCAAGTGGTGGATTTCGTCCATCCACAGTATTACTTTTGCCAAACCTAGACAAACTGGCCCTTTGAAAACAAACTCATTTGGCCCGCTGCCGCGCAGCCCAGCACATCTAACATGCAAACACCACCCACGCAAACATTTGTGCACTGGCTTGGTGACTAGATTAAAACATGCCACGAAAAACAAACATCCCTATGTGCGTGTGCGACTTTGTTGGTGCGTCTTGATCTCTCTCTCTCTCTCACTCTCTCTCTTTCCAGACTGCTCTCTGACTCTATCTCTCTCCACTGGTTCATTTATTTTGCTTTCTCTTGCCCGTTTTGTCTGCCCGTGTATTCTGGGCTGCCCTCAGACCCGCCAAAAGCGAGTCCAACTTTCTGGTCATTTAAATTTCGGAGACTACCACCAAACATCAAGAGTCTCAGAGGCCAACCAAAAAACGCCAAAGGAACCGGATGAATCGCTGGGAGCCACCGTCGCTGGCTTGCGAAGCCTGGCGTGCTGTCGGAGTTGGAGGAGTCCTCGAGCACCTGGCGAGCTCTTGCGGCGGCGCAAAAAAAGCGGCGGCCAAAGTCTTGAGGCCCCCAAAACGGGGGTTGCTGGAACGACACCCCTGCAAACAGCGAATAACGTTTGGGGGGTTTAGTGACTAAGTGGAAAACCCCATGATTTCCCGAAAAGTTGAAGTCTGAAGATCCGTTGCCCAGTAGCAGTCAAGCCCCGAAGCAAAATGACTCTGGTTCATGACCAGTCAACCTGTGTCTGGTTCATGTTTGGTCAACCTCAAAACAAACAATCATGTCTGGTGGGAAACATGGAGGCCATGGCAACAGGGAAGTCACAGCATCGGATCCGGGGGCGTCAGGACCACACGAAGGGAGAATTGAAACGCGCCAGGCCTTCGTGCCATCCTTTCATCATTTTCTCTCCCCCCCCCCCCCCCCAAAAAAAAAAAAAAAAAAAGAGAAAATAAACACAAACAAAAACACAAGAGCACACACACACACACATGCCGGTTTCAAGGCTTGTGGTCCCGATTTGTTTGGTCCGCAACATCTGGGGCGTCGCCGGCTTCAGCACCTAGGGGGCGCTTAACTCAGCCAGAGCTCCGGCCTTGTCGAAGCGATTCGCCTTGGCGAGACTTTTTTTTTGCATGGGGCGTGGGGTTTGGAGTGTTCCAGTTATTGACTGGGAAGCAATCTAGGTCCTCCAGATTTGAGAGGTTAGAATAAGGGTACCCTTCTTCTGTTGTCTATGTTAGTAGGGGAACCCTCCCCCAAACAAGGGTAAAAGGGCACTACTGGGGCACCTAGGTGGCAACGACCTTTTGGAGTGTACCCCTCTTGGAGTGTACCCTTTTGGAGTGTAGACTGGAAAGCACAAGAACTTGCTGGTTTGACAGGCAATGAAAGAGAAATGGAATGACCCTGAGACAAAATAGTATCGATTTGGTTTCCTTTAAGGGGATCCCGACTTGCTCATTCCCAACACCTTTGGATCATTTTGTGCTGAGCACCAGCAAAAGAAAGAGCCACCCATGTTGGGGGTCCTTTGACACATATAATGAATCTTCCGTCCAAAGGGAGCTTCCATTCAATGGGCACACCCTTGGACTCTTTGCAAATGGAACGAAGGGGCGTGTGTTGATTGAATGTCGTGGACATGCTCAGGTCCCATACATGACGTGGCGATAGCAAATACTTGAATGGCTGGCAGCTGATGACGCCGTTGAGCGGGGAGTGCTGACACATGACGATGCTAGATATCCCAAGCAGTCACAGTGTTCTTCCATTTGCTTAAGCCCGGGAAAATCAACATATTTCCAGTAGTGATAGATTCCCAATAAAAGCAACAACAAAAAATATATGAACTAGTATTAAGCAAATGGAAGTATATGGAAGTGTTTGTGTTCCAAACAGCGACTGAATGAGCTTGCAACAGTCAGGTCCCTTTACGCCAACCTGAAGAGGGTGCCCTCAAACAAAACACATGCACCCATGTGGCCTTCCGCGTGTCGGGAGCCCTGTTGCCTTTTTAAGCACACCATGCCAAGCTTTCCGCAGGCGCATCAGACTTCTTGTCCCAACTAGAAACGAACACCAGCCCACAATTGCGACGTCCAAATTACTTCTGTCACTCAGACATTGACCATGCCTCTTCCCTTTCGCTTTCGAGAAAAACCACGTGTTTTTTTGATAGCTCCCTACATGGCTGGTTGCTTCAGACCATTAGGATCTTCCCTAAACATCCTCCCCCCTTTCCCACCCACCAATCCCCCCCCCACCCGTACCCCTTCCCACCCCTCCCCACCCCTTCCCACACTTCTTCCCACCCCTCCCCACCCCTTCCCACCCCTCCCCACCCCTCCCCCACCCCTCCCCACCCCTCCCCACCCCTCCCCACCCCTTCCCACCCCTCCCCACCCCTTCCCACCCCTCCCCTTCCCACACTTCTTCCCACCCCTTCCCACCCCTTCCCACCCCTCCCACCCCTCCCCACCCCTCCCCACCCCTCCCCACCCCTCCCCACCCCCCCCACCCCTGCCCACCCCTCCCCACCCCCCCCACCCTCCCCTTCCCACCCCTTCCCACCCCCCCACCCCTCCCCCCCCCTCCCCACCCCTCCCCCTCCCCCCCCCTCCCCACCCCTCCCCACCTCTCCCCACCCCTCCCCACCCCTCCCCACCCCTCCCCACCCCTTCCCACCCCTTCCCACCCTTCTTCCCCACCCCTTCCCACCCCTTCCCCCACCCCTTCCCCCCCCCCCTTCACATCTCGCCCAGCGATTCGACACCCGAGCATCCCGGCAATGGCCAGCTTCTCCGAAACCGAGCAGCAGGCCAGGCAAAGGTCGAACCTAGGCGGTTGAGGTGTTTTTTTTTACTAGCCCCGGCTTTTTACTAGCCCCGGCTCGGCACAAGCTGGGGGTTGGGGTACAACAACAACCATGAAAGGGGTACAAACTCCCAACACAGTTCTCTCCATATTATATATTTGTATGTATAGCAAAAAATAATCGAGAAAACACAACATGGGCGGTTTGGGTGTCGCTTGCAAACCAATCTGTTTCAAGTACCCCCAAAGCAAAACCGACATATATATATATATATATAATATTATACATACATGTTACATATAATATGTATCATATCAATTGCTTCAGAGCGAGGAACATATATCCACGGCAACCTGAAAGAACCCTTCAGGGACATCTTCCCGCTTCGATAGCTCGAGAGGGCGCCGCCCATTCTCTTCAACCCGCTCAGGGCTCAGGGGGGGGTACTGGTCCGTCCAAAGAAAACCCCCCCCGAGGTTGACCCTCTGCAATAATCACATGGCAATCCACTAGGTCCTCCAGATTTGATTAGATCTATTTTAGTAGGGGAACCCTATCAACCAAAACAGTTGTTGAAAGTTGGCACTGCTGGGGGACCTAGTCAAGCAAAAGCCATGTTATCTAACATCATAAGCATTGGCGACGTGAAAAATCCCACCAGCCTCCAGACTATTCGATTGAGACGTGCTGGTGCGCTGGGAGGCAATTGGAGTTGGGGACCCTCTGGTCCATGAACCCGCTGAAATGGAGACGCCTGGTTGAGTTGTCCAGGATGGGGGAGAGGGTCAGGGAGGGAGGGGGGGCGGGGGAGGGGGGGGGGGGAGGGGGCACCACCTCATGGCCACCTCGAACGGTGAAAGTGAGATATGGGCGTGTCTTTCTCTTTGGGGTGCCCAATTTGGGGTTTGCAAAGGGAAGCCAAGGGGAACCACCCAAATCGGTGTGTCAAAATAGGGACCGCAAGAATGCTTTTGGGTCCTTTCGGGTTTCCCTTTAAACCAACATGAAAAGAGCCCTACGCAGTTTTCCTTCAAGCCCAACAAGTCTTTTGCGCCATGAGGAAATCGGGTTTTTGTTAGCGGCCATTGCCAGCATGATTCATCATCGATTCATGTGGAGAGCCCTTTTCTACCTTCGCAGAATATAACATATGCTTCCAGGCGATTCAATTCTGGGAATGCAAATCCCATTGGACATGGGATTAAAACACCCGGATGCGAGGGTCCTTTTCAAGCTCACACAGTGGTTGTTTCACCCTTTGTCACCTGATGCCATACTATCCTAACTCCACTCATCTGGCTCTCACCGCTTTTCGCTTTGGCATTGCTGGTCCCTGTTAATTCATCGCCCTTTCTGAAAAAGAACACTGTCCATCCATCCTAGTGGCGGTTGCAACGGCATTGCAACAGAGGGTGTTGACTCAGCCGAACCCAAACCTAAGGCTTCCCAATGCTTTGTTCTGCTTCCCTAGTGTTGTCGCACACCGATATTGGGGGAGCTATGGTTGTTTAAATGCCCCATTGGCCAGAGATCGACACGGCGACACGGGGCGGGCCCCCCGCCAGGCAAGCCGGAGAGACTGCGCATTGCCGCTGCCCCTGTCCAAAGTCGCACCACGAACAGGCGGAAGAACCCCCGAATTGGCCTCTGTGGAGCCAAGTCGTTTTCGGGGTCCTGAAACCTTCCCTGTTTCGTCTTGACTAGGACCTCCAGTAGAGAGGTTAGAATAATTAAGGGTACCTTTTTTGCTGTAGTCTATTTTAGTAGGGGAACCCTCCCAACAAAACAGTTGTTAAAAGTTGGCGACCTAGCCTTCCCTGTTCGTCGGGAGGGTACGTCACAGGATCCTTGCGAGAAAACAGACACATACTCAAAACTTTCTGAGCTCAAATCAGCAAAAAAAGAACTGCGCAAAACTCCCTGAGCTCAAATCACCAAACACAAAAACTGCTCAAATCATCAGAACCACTTTTCTCAAAACTCCCCTGATGTCATCGCCGGAACTCATGGTGAACAACTCTGAGTTTTTGATCTCCCCACCTTCTCAGCTCCACGTCCGACAGGAAAGTCAGCACCCCTGGGCCATCGGCATCGATTTCCAATTCCGAACCCCCAGCCGTGGAACCCGTGGAACCCTCGTGGAACCCTCGTGGAACCTTAGGGCCGCCCCAAACCACCCCGGAGCGTATCTGGGCTGAGACCCCAAAGCTTTGTTGGGGAAAAACGATCTTCTCATTTTGGGTGTGGGTCAAACAACTTCGCCTCCAGGCCTCAATGAGTTTCACACGGCGCGCGCTGGTACAAAGTCCGCCAAACAGGAAACAGGTGTGTCCAACACGGGGTAACCCCAAAGTGGAACCCTGCACACGCATCCAAACGCCAGGACCTGGCATGAAATCCAAATCAGCGGCCTAAAAAGGGCCGGTGATGCTGGAGATGTGGCCCAAGCCAACCAAACCCAACCCAACCCAACCCAACCAACCATGAGCCAGCCCAAGGAAAACCACAAATCAGGCAAAACAGAAAACAAGCTCCTCGTCCCTTCCAGGCACGGCCCCTTTGGGCCGAGGTCCCCGGTCAGCCGAGCCCAAATCAATGGCTAGGTCCTCCAGATTCGAGAGCTTCGAATAAGGGTGCCAACTTGTTTCTGTAGTCTATTTTAGAGGGGAAACCCAAAACCCCAGCCAAAAAAAGGGGTTGGGGTTCCCAAAACCCCCAACCAAAACCCCGGGCTTGAGAGTTGGGCCCCGGGCCGCGGGGGCCTTGGTTTGGGGGCCGCGGGGCCCCAAGGGCCCCAAGCTCTAGGCCCGCGGCGGGCCGAGAGGCGGTCCAGCTCCGGGCCGGCCTTGAAGTGGCACTTCCACAGCGCCTCCGCGCTCGCGGTCGGCGGCGGCGCACGAGGCGACGAACGCACGCGACTCGCTTCTGGAAGCGAATCGGAGAGGAAGGTTGACCCTCCGAGCATGGCAACTGACACAGGGACCAAAAAGAAACTCTCATCTTCCGAGAACCCTCCCGGCGCTATGCTGGTTGGAGGAGGTACTTTGTATGCTTTCAGTGGGACCAAATCAAAACCGGCTCTGGACGATCTTTTGGGCGACGGAGAGCTTTGGGTGTTGTTCCGTGCTGGGAATACACCGGCCTATTTCTGCTCCTGGGTGGTGTTGTCAAACCACCATTAAAACAATCGGGGTTCATATAACCACCATTGTTTACCTAAGGATTGTCATCATCCAAATTGGGATGACTTTTCTTTAAAGGCAAACTCAAAGGAGATCGTTGTTTGCGAATCTCTACGAGCCAAATCAACTTGAGTCAGAGTCAAAGCCTGGTATCAAAATGGTTTTCAGAGGTTGTCCAGTAGAGAGGTCAGAATAAGGGTACCCTTTTTTTCTGTAGTCTACTTTAGCAGGGGAACCCTCCCCCAAAGAAGAGAAAAGGGCACTACTGGGGGACCTAGCATGTAAGTCCTATCCCTTCACCCGAAATCGGTTTCGAGGGCGTGGCTCATTTGTGCGACTCGACCCTTTCGCCTTTCACCTCCCGACTCCCGATGTTCCGCCATCCGACGCCTCCATCCAGTGCTGCTGCGTCTCAACCTCGAGTCGGTCATCACATCAAGGCCCACAAATGAGGTCCAAGACCCAAATCAATGGCTAGGTCCTCCAGTAGAGAGGTTAGAATAAGTTGTTCAGAATAAGGGTACCAACTTCTTTCTATGGTCTATTTTAGTAGGGGAGCCCTCCCAAAACAGAAACGGGGTAAAAGGGCACCTAGCCGGGGGACCCAGTAAACCCATGGAAGTCTTAAACGCCTTGGAGGCCAAGGGCTCGCTCGAGTCCGAAGGGCGCCTGTGATCCGAGTTGAACTTAAAACCAAAAGAGCCAAAGGGAAACCAAATGGAAAACAAAGGGAAACCACACCAAAAAGGGCGGTTGCCTTTGGCCCCGTGGAGACGGTCCAAGGACATAATTAGAACACGCATGCCAGGGAAACCAAGGAACCGACGAAGAATCGCACCGGAACAAACAAAAGTTGAAGCACCGGGGTCAATGGATTTTCTGAGAAGTTGCACTCAATTTACTCGTCGCTGCCACTTCTTGCAGATCATTTCAAAAGGGAAATGGCTCAGAACCTCTGCCAAAACTGGGCTGTCCATTTCCAGATCTGCCAAAGGTTGATCACTTTCGGTGGATGAGATGGACACCCAACCAGCAACTGGAGCCCCCCACAAGCCTAAGGTCCTCCAGTAGAGAGGTAGGGGGACCCTCCCTCCAAAAAGTTGGTGAGAAAGGGCACCTAGCTGGGGGACCTAGAATGGTATCCAGGGACCCCCACCGCCTCCCTCCCGAGTCCCGAGGCCCGGGGCCCGAGGCCCGAGGCCCGAGTCGAGATCTCAGGCGCCGGGCGCTGATGCCGAGGTTCTCCCCGTGGAGCTTCAGCACGTCCTCGAAGGCGTACTTGGAGCCAATCAGCCTCCGATGGAAGAAGAACCCCAACTCCCGCGCCCCAAATCCCTTAAATCCGCCGCCCCAACTCCAAGCCCAAAATCTGTCGGGAAGGTCAAACCACCCGGGACCCCAGCTCCGCCGCCCCAATTCCGCGCCCAACGAGATTTCGGAAAGGTCAAACCACCCGGGACCCCAAATCCAGCCCCCTCAGATGCGAGCCGTTCATGAACTTTCGGGGGAAGGGTGGGTTTTCGGTTGGAGGCGCGAGAAAACCATTTTTCTGGGGGGGGGGGGGGTGGGGTGGTTTCGTATTAGAAACCATACTTGGCAGGGTTCCTTTAGGCCTTTCCCGAATTCATTTACGTGCCAAGCTGTATGGTTAAAGGGGAACAGATCCAGTGGGGTGCGCGTCCTTTTCTTTGAGGTTTATTTTCAGGGATGTTTCTTTTTTATCTGAAAACCACAAAATCCTGGGAGTCCCCAACTTGTTTTCTTGGACACGTGGTGAGAACTAGCCTGCGGAACATGGGTCATTGGTGACTTCAGGAGGATCTGGATCCATATGGCTTTGAACATGTTTGTCCCACAAAGGCGCCAGGACAGGAGATCCGTTTCTTGGTGTGCGGCAACATCACTTGGTTGACGTTGGAAGGGGAGCAAAAATTTAAATTTTAGCAGTCAAGTGAAGATTTCAACCACTAAACCACAATAAGCAAAAATGTAAAATGTTTCCCAACAACAACCATGATCACCCAAGGAAAGGTGGCTGTTCGATGACAAGATATGACCAGGTTTGTTGAAAGCCCCCCAAAGCAGGGCGGGCACAATTTTCACTTCCGATCGAGTGGGGTGGCCAAAAAGAGCTAAACATTTTATTTGCCACTGGATTGATCTTCCCAAAAAAGTAACTGAAGTCCATGAACTCAGGGAGTTAGAATTTGACGACCCCTAATCTCAAAATACGAAAAAGATGAGTTGGATCTGAGCAGCCCTTTTCTTGGCTTTGCTTCTGTGCCATGAGGGATGCCCAACAAATGAAAATAACTAGGAACCCCCGACACAAAAGAAAGAAAGAAGGAGCTACCAAGGTGGGGGGTCCCTGGAATTCCCCAAGTAAAAGTTGCTCATTATAGGCCTGCTGACGTGAGACTTCATGGTCCCTCCTTGTAACTTCAGCTTCCCCTCTACTGGGTTGGAAGGGAGTGCCTTCCTTCTTCATGTGGCTTCAAAAGAAAATGGGGGTCAACTCCCAAACCACCAATCCAAACACAAACCAGCAAGGGCTACCTGACAACTCGGCTTTTCACAAAACGGCCATCCCCGATTTCGGGAAACCGCAGCGTCCGAACCAAACAACCGTCTGGTCTCAAGTTGCACGCTTCATCATGGCAAGAACTGCTCGCTGCACGTTTCTTTGCTTCCAGTCTTGCAAAAGGCAGCGCAGAAGACTTAGCTGAAAGTCTGTGCTGGATGCAATGGTGAGAGCTGTTCAGAAGTTGCTGGGCTCATCGACTCCTGATCAGAGATTTCAGTTGACCAATTGAACCGGAAATCAATTGTTGACCTTTTGGGACCCTTACCAAAGATGGGCCAAAAGGGGGAAATCAAATTCAAAAGGTCGGCTTTGGACGACTGAGCTAAGGATTCACCCGACCCGCAAAGTCAACCCTCCAACTAAGTGTTACCCGCTCAAAACCAGGTGCCGCAGGCCCACATCCAAGATCTCTTTGTAAGCGTGCACTTGTTGAGTGTTTCCAGTAAACCCCAAACGAGAACTTGATTTATGTTTGCCTATCTAGGTTCTCCAGTAGAGAGATTAGAATAAGGGTACCCTGTTTTCCGTAGTCTATTTGAGTAGGGAAACCCTCCCCCAAAAAGGGGAAACGGGCACTACTGGAAGACCTAGTTTTAAGTTTGTGTATTTCTGTTGTTGTTGTGGGGGGGGAGAAACCCCACGCGCCATTTTCCGACCAAACAAAAAAGCACTGCGGCCCCCTGCTGCTCGCGCTGCTTGGGTTTCAGCGGCAGCCTGAGCAACGGCCCGGAAAGGAGCAGGCTGACTTGTAGGTCCCGTTGACGTCGATCAACCTGCCAAAAGGAACAGGGATCCTTACATGAAAAACGCCTGAACAGGGTTCCACTTTTTGACTACCCCAGGGTAGACTTAGACCAAGGGGGTGGGTCATTACCACCAAAGGGGAACCCCTGGGTTTAAGCCTATCTTGGGGTAGTCAAAAAGTGGAACCCTGCACCTGAACATTGCAACTTGTAAATGGTGGTAAACCCCTTTATTTGGGTGGACAAAAGCCACATGTGCCAATTGGTCGCAAAATGTATCTTTTAAGGAGTTTTGGGGAAGCTCAAATATTGGTGGAAACCAGGGGATGTTGTATTAAACCACCCCAAAAGGGGTACAGACTCGTGGTGAACAAAGAACGTGCAGGAAGGGGCTCGGCGAGCTTCATGGGCGCAAAGAGAAACCCAGCCGAACCAGAAGTTGGGGATGTCTCCAAAGTATTCCGAGCCGCGAACGGCAAGATCAAAGTAAGGTAGCCGCAGGGAGAAACCACTAAGGAACCAGTCGGGGTCAATTATTGCAACAACGCTCAATATTCTTTGTTCCTCAAACGACTTGCCTATTTGTCAAAACTGGACACGGCGCTTTGAAAGGCAAACAACGCGTCAAGGCGGCCAGTTTGAGACGCGGCCTCCTTCTTTTACCGTTTGACTCCTCCACAAGCAAAGCACAAAATCCATGTTTCCATTTAACAGTACCTCCAAACACTACATGTGTTCAGCACGCGTTCAGCAAATCCATGTTTCCATTTTACAGTACCTGTAAAAACTACATGTGTTCAGCACGCGTTCAGCTGATTTTTGGTGGGAAGGTCAACATAATCGAAACTCAGCAGCACTGCAACTGCCTCAACGGCTAAACTAGGTCCTCCAGTAGAGAGGTTACAATAAGGGTAATTACCAACTTCGTTTTTCTGTAGTCTATTTTAGTAGGGAAGCCCTTCCCACCAAAGAAGGGTAAAAGGGCACTACTGGGGGACCTTGGATTGACTGAAGGAGCCTTTGGGCCTTGCCCCGGGCCTTGCTCAGCCCCCTTGAAAAGGTGAGATTAAGGCGGACATATCGCTAAAGCAAAACCGATAAATTGGGAGTGAGAACCCTGTTTGGGTCGGTCTAAAAAGAAAATGAGAAGGGAAACCACAAAGAATTGAGGTCCGGTTCCCGAGAAAAAGACGCACCACCCAATTCGTCTTGACTCACCAAATCCATGGGCGACCTTCCACCCCCCACCCACCCACCAGGGCCAGGGCTGCTCAAGCGCCAACGCCACATCCTTGGAACCAGCCTCGCGACGTCTCGCGGAACTGATCTTGCGATCGTTCGATAGGCAGGGAATGAGAAATGGCCATGGGTCAAAACATCCCAATCCCAACGAAAATAAATGGGTGCAACCAAAATGGGATCCCATTGGTTTTGACCCAATATCCAAGTGGCGGTTTCCTTTGAGGACCAAAGCCGGGGTTCGTTCCCACCTTCCCAACTGAGCACCAGCAGGTGATAGGAGCAAGACAAATGCGATGGTTTCTCCCTGCCTCTTTGGCGCTTTCAGCTTGGCGATCAGTCTGAGTCACTTCATGATTTAATGGTCTTAACTTTGTATGTGTATGATAGGAATTGATAATCCATTGTTATTGGGAGGGTTCGGTTTCTTGCTCTGTGTGTGTGTTTGTCCAATTCTTGGGCCTCTTTGGTGGCTTTGCTGTTTGTTGGTCTGTCTGTCTGTCTGTCTGCCTACCTCCCTGCCTCTCTGTTGGCTTGTTCGCTCGTTGTGTGGCTTTGCTTGTCTTATTGGCTGCATGCTGGTTGGTACGGTGGATTAGATTGCTTGTTTGACCGGAGTTGCCAAAAATGGAACGGCTGGAGCCCTGGTTTCCCTCAACATCAAGCCAAAATATCATCCAGTGGCGTCACTTCCACAAAGAAATGATACTGTTGACTCACAGTGGCGGGTTCAGGAGCCCGACCAAAAGACTAGCAAAGAACAAACAAACGGGAACCCCATTCCACCTGCGGATTTGCCTTGCCCGCAATCGGATTCCGAACTCCTACAAAAAAAATGGATCTATGCCATGAAAATAAAATTGTGAGGTGCGATACCAAGTTGCCTTATGATCATAGGACAATGACGTGTGTAATGCAGCCATTTGCCCCTTGTATGCCTCACCTGCGTGCTGCCTGCGTGTATTTTACCGGGGACACATCGGGTCACCCATTTTGGGGGTCCGATTCCTATGTTGAGACAAATTGACCCCCAAACATGAATTCGGGTGTCCTTTTCGTTCCCGTTAAACCCAACCAAAAAGGGGTACCCTCAAAAAAGAAAAACCGTCTGGAGAGACACCCCCCGCCTTGTCGCCCTTTTTCCGGTTCAGCACCTTCTTCAAGGTGTGCACTACGTGCTGCCTCGAAGGGGCAGAAAGGAAAAGGGCACCGAGAACCGGGGAACCCAACATGGGGACATGTGAGCCGTCAAAAGTTTAGCAGGGATCCCAAACACGAGAGTGCCTAGAGTCTCCATGACCCTTTAAAAAAGGGTCATTGACCCCATTATTTTGGGTACTGACCAACCATTTTTTAAGGGTCATGGAGACTCCAGGTAGGGATGGATCTGAAAGCCAACTCTCGGAGTTGATTCTCCAACCTGCAGGTTCCAACTGGATCACGGCCGTGCGGCCGTTCGGGCGAATATGCCGGATGCAATCAAACAAGCCATACCTGGAGTCTCCTTCTGACCCTTAAAAAACGGTTGGTCATTACCCAAAATAATGGGGTCAATGACCCATTTTTAAAGGCAGTGTGTTTAAAGCAAGCACACATCTCCAAATCTGCTCAAACAATCGCTGGCAGGCAAGGCACAACATCATTTCGCTGGCACTCTGATCTGCATGAGAAGCTCTCTCAGGCAAGCAACCAGGCCAATGTCAAAATCGGATAAATCCGGAGCAGGCCGTATTTCGGGGCATTCCTCGCATACGGGCTGGATTAATCCGAAGTTACTACTATATGCAATGCTCTGATGGCTTTGGCCAAAGGAACCTGCAGGCTGAACCGTCATGTCCTCGAGTCAAAGGGTAGCCATAGCCGGAAGAACTCACATTCTCAAGCCTGACATGCTCTTTACATATCCTTGCAAGGTCTGCAAACCGGAAAAGCTTTGATATCAGTTGCACCACCCTGCGCTTGTCTCAGCATGGAATGAAACAAAGAAGGAGGGCATGCACGATAAAACGCCCGTTCCGGCTTGTCCCCGCACAGTCCCACACAGCTTCGCAGCAACACCACTGGTCCTTTTTCCTCCAGCGGGTACAAAGCATAAGTTCGCATCTCTCTTGCGACCCTGCAAAACGACGAAAAAGGCAAACAATCCGCTCTTGCTGCATTTGATTCACATTCTCGCTGTGGGGTTGACTGCCGATATATGCAAAGTGTTGTTTTTTTCAAAACAGCGCAGGAGCGCTTTCCGGCGTCTCTTGCCATACGTCTTCCTTCGCTCGCGCCATCTCAGCGAGCGCAGCTCGCAGGCGGATCGGATTCCTGGCGAGGGCAAACAAGAGAACGCCACCCAGTTTGACAGTCCGGAGAATGCAAATACACTAGGAGAGGTTGGAATAAGGGTAGCCTTTTTTTCTTCTGTAGATCCTTGTGCTTGTCCCTTCTGGCGCGTGACGAATGCTCGTTGGTGCTTGCAAAAAAATCATGGCTATCCGCCGTTCTCCCAGCGAAAAATCATGTGTAGATGGAATCCGTCTTTCCTAATAACCTAGGTCCTCCAGAAGAGAGGTTAGAATAAGAGTACCTTCTTTTTTGGTAGTCTATTTCAGTAGCGGAACCCTCCCCCGAAAAAGGGCAAAAGGACACTACAGGAAGACCTAGAGATACATCATATCAACGTATGTCATTTTGAAACAACAAAGACATGCGTGTACCAGGTCAAACATCTTGTTCATCATGGCCATGGCTCCCTCAATTAGGCACCCCTGCATTAGTTGTCCAAATCTCTATTGAGAGGTTGACCATCCCTACAAACAGCTCGAGCGAATCGCCTCAGTAGGTGGCGATGGGCAACTCTCCAGTGGCGGTGCCGATCTTGCTCAGCTGACCTGCGTGAGAAACCACAGATACATCCAACAGTCAGTTGGCAGGTGCGTGGGGGATCTCCTTCTTGGGGCCACTTTCGTTCCATCTCTTCAATTATTCAATTGGACTCACCTGAGCTTAACTTTGTTCAGACCAACTGGGGTTCCCTTTAAAACCAAAGAAGGGGTACCCCCGCCCCCCGTTTCTACAATCCCCGATACGGACCCACATGTGGCTCGATTTACAGTGGCCTCAACAAGTCGATTCGCATCATTCCGCTCGTGCGCTTTGCGTGTCATGCATTCCGTGTTTATCACCGTCCAACACTGCCATGCAGCTAGTGCCACGTGCCACGCCAAACTTCGCCCCTCGTGGGGAAAAAGAAAGAGCCCCCTTGGCCATGCACTTCTCAAATAGGCCCCTGAGTCTGTGCACAAAGGTGCTGATGGCAGGATTTCCACCGAGCATTTCGATGCGAAATATGCAAGCCACAATGAGAGGTTCAAGCTCACTGTTGGAACCTTGCTCTGGTGCATTGATACACTGCCTACCTGGTTGCTGCCACGGAAGCTGTTGACAAAAAGCAAGTGACTGGTCCAGCCTCAACAAGTTCATCGCAGTAAGTTTGCGACACACCTCACTTAGCTTTTGCCCTCAAACAAAAACATATTCTGGTTCGTATCCTGTGAACCTTATGTACAATGACCTCAAAAGAGATCCCAGAACACTCTTCTGTGAAAACCTCTGCACAATTTCCACGAACTTATCCTAATCAAGCCCCTTTGAATAAAGCCCGCCAAGCAAGAGGGCACCGAAACAACCGGATACTCGTCCTTCCGCCAGACCTTCGTGGTTTGTGTTTGTGCTCAAGTCCCCCCAGCTCCCATGAACATTGACATACTGGACGTATCTGGGATAGATAGAGGCTTTCAAACAGGGTTCCCTATGTTCCTCCTTTAAGCATCACCCTCAAGGAAGCTCGCCCGGCCCAAAAGCTCCCAATCTTTCAAACACCAAAAAGCCATTCTTCCGGCCTAGGACTCGCGTCGCAAATTCGAAAGCCACCCAACGCCAAAACGGTAGTTGTCTACACCCATGGTACCCCAAAAAAGATCTTCGGTCTTCCTGGTGGTTTCCGTTTACGAAACATGACAAGGGTATCAATTAAAGAAGGACACACCTACATGAGGGGCTTTCAAAAGAAGGGTCCCAAGATTGGATCCCAAGTGGCAACACCAGTGGAATTTCCATGGGGAAAAACCTCTGGCGGCCAAAGGTAGCTGATTTAGAGGGGAATTCAGCTTCCCTCCATTTGGCTGGGCGGCTTGGATTGGTGGAGCGGGGATGGTTTGCCATTTCCCATCAATCAGTTCAAATCCAGCCAATCCAAACCACCAAAGGGATATTAACCCCCACAAAACACCAACGAAGTTGGCAAACGAACAGAACGCCCCCTTTTCTTGCTGATGCTCAGTAGGGAATGAGAAATGGAATGCCCCCAAGAACCATCCCACCGGTGGTTTCCTTTATTCAAAATCCTTGGGTTCGTTCCACTTCTCATTCCCTATCGCACCGATCGCGAGCTTTCACCAAACGGAAGAACGCTTCGCCGACTCGCCTGTGGTGTGCTGGGCCAGTAGCCCGTCATAGTCCGCGTAGAAGCCTACGACCGGGTGTGTGGTGTTTTGTCCATCGAGTCAGCTCGCGCCAAAATGTGGGCTCGTTCAAATTAGGCCCCTGGATGTCGGTGGTGAAACGATTCGCAACAAAATGACAAATGTTCCACTTGTGGTGTCAGCAAAAATCAAACCTCGATTGGTCATTTTGGGGGATTCCCGCAAAAATCACCCATGTTCAGCTCTTGGTCTAAAGCAAACCGACTTTTGGGGGGGTTGTCTAGCACAAAAAGAAACATATGAGCCACCCCCATTCAATATCCTCGAGGCTGCGAGCGCATTGGCTGTCACATTCCCCCGTATGAAAACCCACTTAGCTTGCTGGATCGATAGGGGAATGAGAAATCAAAAACCATCCCCCATTTGGTTTCCTTTCAAGGGAATGCCCTTCGGGTTCATTCTCAACCTTGAAGGTCATTCCCTGAGCACCAGCAGGAAAGAGAGCAATTTGACATGAAAGCGGAAATGTAGAAATGATACGCCTTCAAAAAAGCCTAGCATAACAAGCATGGTTTCTTTGGAGTTCGTCTCAGAATGGCAATTTAGGGGTGCCTTAAAAGAAGCCACGCCCATTTCGTCTATCGCAAGGTAAAAATGGGCTGTCTGAAAATAGGGGTACCCCTTCCCCATGTTGGGTCGTGTTCTTTTGGCTTCCCTAACCAACCCCAAAAGGGTACCCTCAAGGCTCTCAAAAACAGCCTAGCCACTCATCAGGCTTTGTCTGAGTCATTCCGGACCCCCAGAAAGGTTCGAAAGCGCAACGGAGACCAAGAGACCCTGACGGTCTCCTCTTCGTTCCAACCTGGTAAGCAAAGTACGGGTTCGCCTCAAATAGGCTGCAAACAATGGTTGATGTCCTTTGATTTTCCTTCAAGGGTACCCTTAAAAATAGACACACCAATATGATGCTGCTTGTTCCCCAACAGCAAAAGCCATATCGCCAATCTGCGGGTGTGCTGTTTGCGGCTGCCCAGATTCCTTGAAAATAGAAAAAGACCGAGCCAGGATCGGCTTTTGGAGATGCTTGGGCTGTTTGCAGCCCCACTCAAAACAGAGGAACCAAAGATGCCACAATCTTGGTTGCCTGCAAAAATAATATTTTTGGGGGGTTTAGTGGAAAACCCCTTGATTTCAACCAAAAAAAGTCTAAAGATCCAACCCAGTAAGCAGTCAAAAACTCACCCCAAAAAGCTGCCAAGAACCGTAACCACCACCCCCCCAAAAGCTGGGGCCCCGGGCTGCCATTCACATAGAGGTGGGGGGTCCTCCGCTTCTGCGTCTTGGCCACCGTGTAGCCCAGGATGGCCGGATGCGCCAAGACCTCGGCTTCGGCGACTCGGCCTGGCCACGATACCTGGAGTCTCCCTAAGGACCCTCAAAAGATGGTTGGTCACTGACCCCAAAATCATGGTTGGTCAATGACCCATGTTTGATTCGGGTCATGGAGACTCTAGGTATATATGTGGGAAGCAAACTTGGTTGACGTTGGGTTAGGGGAGCAAAAGTTCTCAAATTTTAGCAGTCAAGTGGTGGGATTTCAACCACTAAACCACCAGAAGCAAAAATGCAAAATGTGTCCCAACAACAACCATGCAAAGACTAACAACCTCACTTCCATTTTAGGTGGTTCAAGAAACAGCCTAATTACTA